TCTGTCTGGAAACGCCTCACTAGAAAACCCCTGGACAGATTTTGATGTAATTCGGTATGATAGCTGATTATTCGGGTCAACATATAGGATACTTTTTATTGAGGGAAAACATTTTATCTCTGAGAAATCTAAATTAACTGTTAAAACGTACCTAGTGCCGAACCTTAGCGAAGCGAGGGTGAGACGCTAGTCGATAATAAATTTAATATAAATATATTCTCATTCGTTTCTGTTTGCATGTGTTGTGCGACACTAAAGCTTGACAGATATAATCAACTGTTGTACGCTAAAATTTAGTTTCATAATAGTTAATACATACAAATCCACCCTACATATAAGGACGTTTAATTCGAGAAAATGAAAGGGTTCTCGTGGCAAGGGGACAGAAGTTCCATGAAAATCTTGTGGAAATTACTGCATTCATTCTGATGTAAATTCTATTGTATTGCTGCCGATGCATAGGAAATCTAATATATTTAGATACGTAAAATACATTTTTACCTATTACATATTCACATCTTAAAATATTGTAGTCTGGCACCGACTTGACACCGAAATGAAAACCCTCGTTTAGTTATTTTTTACATCTTTAGTGTAGACGTAATAAGCAGGTAATTTGTAGGAAGAACGTTTTTAATAATACATTCGATTAAACAATTTGTTTAAAAAATATATTTATTGTTGATTTTTTTTTAAAACCGCTCGACCGATTTCGATAAAATTTATGTGGGACCACCTGGGAAGTATACCCTTTCAAACAAATTTTTCCAAATCGGTTCAGGCGTCTTCGAATAATCGATGAACATACATAAAAAAAAGATTCCGACGAATTGAGAACCTCCTCGTTTTTGGAAGTCGGTTAAAAAGTGGATGTGTGTGATTGTGAGTTATAAGTTAAATAAATCATTAAGCTAGCTATGTTCCGATGTTTTTTTATACTATGTTAGTTATCGTTATCTATTTATATCAAAACTCTTCTTCCTATATATTAAAATATTAATTTAAAACATACAAATAAAAAAAAATGATAGATTCGGCAAGAAATGATGTTCAGGTCCAATCAGGAGTTTAGATAGCGTAGTGAGAATCTTTTACTACTATTATATAAACATTTTATTTAATAAAAAGTAAATTTATTCATATAGCAGAAAAAAAACTATTATTGAATTATCTGTAATCTTACTATCTATGGAAATTTACCTATTCCTTCAGGAACTCCTAAACTGTATACTTTTCTACTTACCTATAAACGTTTCGTTAAAAAAAGTTAACCACCTCAAAAGAGTCAAGAAAACAAGGAAATAATTGAAGTTTGATAGTTTAATAATCATAATATGACATTTGATAATTGGTGAGATGATAATTGAAATTGAAAGACGTTTCAGAATAATATTTGATATTTTAATTTTATTTTATCTAGCTAGTGCTATGTAGTGTGTGTGTGGTGTTACTTTGCCGTCGTGTTTATTTCAATTTCATTCGCAGCCACTACACGTGTATATTATGAATCAACTCAACAAATTAAAACAAATCTTAGCTTTGTTTGTTAAAAATATGTAAATCTATCCATCCAGTCCATCGATATCGGTTCTTGCATGATGGGCAATCAAAAAAATAGACAAAAATCTTAATATTGTAGATTTGTTATATTTTTAATTAATAATATTGCTAAAAACGGCAGTGATAGTCCAGTAACGCTCGCTTGATAAACCGAGTGAAGCGGGTTCAAATCTCGGGTCTCGCACTTCTGATATTTACATGTGCGAATCATTTCCAAGATGATTACCATTTGTCCTGCAGTGAAGGAAAACATCGTGAGAAAATCTGCATGTCTGAGAGAAACTAGCTAGTTTTCTGGGCTTTAATACATAAAATATTGATAAAATTTTCACCTCAATACATATATTTTATGAAAAGATGATTGAAAAGATGTTGCTTTGTCAAAAATTAGTGTCACACTTGTCGTTACACTAATGCTCGATTTCACTAACATCCCATAAGCTACCAGCTACGTATAGGATCCCTAGCTTAAAAGTTCCCCTAAACTAGCCACTAAAATAAAATTCGTTTTACCATCGTCAGGGCCCTTAAACTTAGGTAACTTTAGTGAAATCGGCCATAATTGCTTTATGCGTACACATCAGACTAAAAAAATATTATCTTTAATCTGAATATACGTAGGTATAATAAAAACCCGCCGATATGACTTTTATAGTTCAATTATTTATCATTGCATCGTTGTCTTTAGGTATACATTAAAGTATATTTAGTGATAGTGAATGTATCAATCTCTTAGTTAATTCAAATAGAATATAATAGGTTTTTATTTTAGTTAATTCCATTACAATAAAAAGTCCTATGGAAGTCCAGCTATTTTAATATTATGCGCGCGCAGACTGTTAAAAAATGAAAATTCTAAAATGTACCTAATGTACCTATTATATCAGAGTTTGTATTTTGAGTTCCATTGCTGTACTATGAGATACATATAATATTGTGGAAGTCTTGTTAATTGGCTGAATTAAAATTCATCTTGGTGTAAAGTCGCTTAAATGAAGCTGTTTCAAATATGTTATTGATTATATTATATCGATACTCGTCAACATTTTAAATCCTGTATTGATTTTGTGAATCACATTTTTTAAGTTGATAATAACATTGATGTGCATACAATGTTTATATCAAGTTTTTACATATAGTATAAGTACCTATAGGGATATAATGTACGTATATTAATCTCACAGCCTTTTTTGTTTGTATACTGAACAAAACTGGACTTCGAGACCTTAGCGGTCATTAACCAGTGCCAGTGGCCCTTTGCCCCGCCTACGACGATACGTAGTCTTACAACATGAAAACATAGATATGTACGTACTCTACTATGTGGTATTGTTCTTATTTTATAAATAGGTGTAAGGTATGCTTTAAACACATAAAGCTTCATTAAATTAATATATGTTCAAGTAAAATAAATAAATGATTACGTTAAAGTTAACCGTCAAGGTTTACAAGATTTCGACTACTAATCCATACTATAATTTAATAATTTTAATATTTATGTTTTAGCGAAATTGTGTTGTTGTATTATGTTCAACGTTTTATTATAGATATATTAAAAATACTGTCGTTTATTTTTCATAATATCAGATTGTCTCATATCATAAACTCGTCATTCGTCAACAACATTATTTTCATTGTTCTGTGAAGTGTTGCCAGATCAGATTTTCTAAAATACTGTGCCGGCCATATTAAAATACGGTATTAACGAGAAAAATACAGTGTTTTATGGAACTAAATACTGTGTATTTTACAGTGCTATTAAATGACATATAAGAAAGGAAATAATTATTTTATTAAGTAAAATAGGCATTTATTTTAAAGATAACTAGCTTTGCCGGCGACTCCGCCCGCGTTCAGGTAACCAAAAACCAAATTCTTAGGTATTACATATTATTATACTCTTACATTGCAGTTTTTGTATATTTTTTTTCAGAAATGAGACATTTTCCCGTGGTAAAAAGTATCCTATATGTTGACCCGGATATCCAGCTGTCATCATATCAAATTTCATCAAAATCCCTTCAGCGGTTTTTCTGTGATGCGTTAACAGACAGACAGGCAAAAATTCTAAAAACTATAGATTCGGCCTCTGCATCTATAATAATGTTTATTTCAATAAGATTTAAAAAAAAAAATTTCACATACAGATTCGGCTTAGTTACAATTTTATTATATGTATAGATGTTCACACAATAATATAATACTTCTATCCACAAAAAAATTAATCACTGTCACTGTCATACAGTCCGCTGTCCGATTACCACTACTTTTTCCGAGAAGATTTTAGCATCTTGTCAGTTGGCAGAAAACTCACACAGTGTGACAGTTGCCACCATGGCGAGAAATGGCCTGTTTTGCCAACATATTCCCCCCCCCCCCCCCCCCTTAGTTACAGTAGAAAATCTAAAACGTAATATTTGACAACGAAATACTTTGACGATATACTAAACAATTTAAATGACTCGCCAATAACATAAAAACTACACTATTGCATATCCAATACCATTTACCCGAATAATACTTACCTTTGTGGACTATAAGTTGTAGATTTTTATTACCTACACTTTTGCCATTTAACTTTTTTTCATACAACCTTGTAGATTTGCCGCAAAACAAGATAATCCGTTTTTTACCCTTAAAAACTCACCCCCTCCCGCTTCCTGATCAAAGATCGCCCGTTAATTTATCTTTCCTTTCATTTTTGTTACATTCTCTTCATTTTCCAATGGGTTTCATCCTACTATTATGTTTTTTGGTTTCAAAAATTATCGACTCTGGTCTATTGTAGCAATATAACCTAAAAAATAAAAAAAAAACTCCTTTTTTATTTTTTAATTACTATGCAATGAGTATTTTATAGTAATTTAGGAGTTATTTTACTAACGTGACAACACAAAAATAACAACTGTTTCTATATAGTTTTAAGTTTTCACTTCTGACGGCAGTCCCCATGACTGCTTTTTTAATTTGATTTTTTTAATTGATGCTTAAATAAAATTATAATTGTGATCATTATATAAATAAATAATATTTTGTAACTTTCTATACGGTACAGTTGTTGATGGTAGAATTTTACGAATTATACTGGCAACACTGTTCTTTTGACAGCCCAGACAGCTGTACTAAAAAGTAAAATGTAATGAAAATAAGTTGAAAAGTGTAGCTGTCCTTGATGTGTCATCCATCGCGATAATTTCTATGAAACGTGGTGTTAGAATAATAAATAATTGGCGATAAGCTCGAATTGTTTAAGTACATTTTCTGGATTCCTTATTGAACAACAATTATATCGCTAGTATAAACAATCTGCTCCGGTGGCAGGTAGTTGTACTAATTAATTGTTGAAATGTTTATGTAACGCAGTATTGTTCATGCATTTATCTTTGTTTCAGCGTAGTGGGGAGCAGGATAATTGAAGTACTATATTGAAGTAGGAATCAGACAGTGATAGTGGACAGCTGTGTTTGTGGTGATGTGTTTGTGATACAACCGAAGTTGGTGGATGCAGAGACAACGGTGTAGCACTTGCCCGGGCATGGTGCCGGGTAGGTAGCGGGCGCGGGCGGCCTGCGCAGGCCCCACACAAGCAGCCGCGTGTGTTTCCCAGCGTCGTCTATGGCCGAGCAACACATTACACCGTCGTCGCACTCTGCACTAACGAGAGAGTCCAGCAGGTGACACTTCATGCATATTAAGGCAAATTTGTATTGTTTTCATCCATCATCATTTTCAATTTCATCATCATTCATTTCGTTCAAGTGAAAAAGTTTTAAAAGAATATTGAGACATAACATCATTTTTAATTTCATCATTTTCAAGTGTTTGTTATAAACTTTTTAGAAGGAAACAGAACATAATTAGTTTCTAGGGAAATTCTGCTTATATCATACCTAAAATATATTGATAAATAGGTTACTTTTAAATAATTACCCTCATAATGATTATCTTTTCAATATTTTATCCAAATAATTCTCACAAGGCAAGAACATTTTCTACCATTCCAAATAAAGTAAGGATTGAGATGAGCTGGTTATAAATTACTTTAGTTTCATTTTTAATGCTGCATTTTAAATAACACATACATCAAACTTGGTGTGATTTATAGTAGGGGAGCCCAAGAGGGGATTTTCTGTAGTTACTCGAGCGCGGCAGATTAACATAAAAGAGGTTACCTTGTACTCTATTGAGTACTTTCACCATAATATAAGTCTTCTATATAAAGGGGCGCATCTAGGGAAGCCAATTAAAATATTTAAAAAATGTTTTGATAAGGTAGAAATACTTGAAACCGTCAGATTAAGGTGTGGTAGGCTAGTCACATCCTGAAAAGTGTCCAATTCAATAATCTGCCTATTTGCACAAGCCGAAGAGACAAAAATCGACTATAAAGTTTATGATGATTTTTGCCTCTTAGGCTTGTGCAAATCGGCAGATTATTAAATTGGACACTTTTCAGGATGTGACTAGCCTACCACACCTTAATCTGACGGTTTCAAGTATTTTTACCTTATCAAAACATTTTTTAAATATTTTAATCGGCTTCCCTAGACGCGCCCCTTTATATAGAGGACCTATATTGTGGTGAAAGTACTCAATAGAGTGCAAGGTAACCTCTTTTATGTTAATCTGCCGCGCTCGAGTAACTACAGAAAATCCCCTCTTGGGCTCCCCTACTATTATGATGGATTTTTAAGTATAACAGAACATAAAAATTCAGTAAGTATTTCGATATAAATTCCTATTCTATTGGTTAATATTCAACACAAGTCTAATATGTAGTTGATAGTTGTATATCACAATGAATGCAACTAAACTTCTTCATATTTAATAATACATAAATATACTTTATTTATTACATTGTCTAATTTAATAACATTTTAAATACATTATATGTATAGGATATTCTATGAAATAAATAATTGTTTCATTTAATTTATTCAATATTTCATTGTGTTCATTTATTCAAAATGGTAATCTATATAAATACTTACATATTAAATATTGAAATATCAAGAATTCTGTAAAAATGTTTGTTTGATAAATGTTGTACTGACAACTAAAAATATTGAATGTCTCTGTTAAATTACTAAACAAGTTTTTATAAAATTTGTTACCTACAAAATTCCTCTGCATTAATTACACTATAGTTAAATTTGCACAATGCAGTTTTATGAGTGCTTTAAAGGTAAATCCCAAATATGTATGTACAAATGTACATGCATATAGTATGGGTATGGTATCCATTTTAAACAAATCTATCCCTAGGGAGCCATAAATTTTTCCGGGATAAAGTAGTCTATATGTTATTCTGATGTAGGAGCTATATTATTGTAAAGTTTCATTAAAATTCATTCAGTAGTTTTTGTGTGAAATAGTAACAAATCCATACATCTATACATCCAAACATTCATACATCCTCACAAACTTTCACATTTGTAATATTAGTATAGACATATTTTTTTAGACTAATGCAGGTCAAGAAGTTTTTTTCAAATATTAATTAAGATATATGATCAAAGAATCAAACTACATCTAAAATCTCTTATTTTAACTAGAGAGATTTAATTATAGATAGTTCATTACTATAACCATAGTAGACTAGGTTGATTTTTTAAAAATATTTACTTACAACAATAGTTCATTTCTGTAACTATAAAATGTTTGCAGGCCAAGATAAAAATAATATTAATCCCTCCACGATCGCAGACACGCCGGCGTGTCAGTTATCAATAGATTTCTTAAAATTCTAATTAATTTCTTAGAAAATTACCTGGAGGTGTTATAAAATCAGTAAAACCATTACATGAATTAATTTAATATTAATTTAATCATTTATATCAGGCAATATTTACAAAAAGATCTTAAATATGTAAACAGAGGCCCAAACATATAAAACCTTAAAAACTAACATATATAATAGAAGAATTATTTATTTTAAATTAAATAGATATTAGATTGTTTTAAAAATATTTACCATAGGAAATATTCTTTTTTTTAAATATATTTCCTCAAATTCAAACTTTTACTTGGGTCTATAAACTTAATTAAGTATTGTGTAATATTAGCAATTGTTAAATAATATTGTGTATACATATAGTATAATTATATTGAATTAGTATATTTTTAAATTCACATTCAGATCCAAGTACTTTAGATCAGCCGAAACAAGCAATATTATACAATATACAGAATTACAATTTCATAGTTTGCTTAATAAGTATTACTTTTTTTATTTTTAGTACAATACTACAAGAAACACCATTTATAAATCTTTAATATATTATATTGTGTTAATAATATATTACAGAGAGATGAGTAAATTACATATTATATACTTTGTTACTTAGTTTTATGTAATTATTTACCACTAATGGTTATTAGTTTGTCTATATTAGTTTACGTTCATTAAGTAAACAAAATTATCTTTGAATGTGTATATATTAATTATTTTACAAGTTAAAGATAATTAAACTTATTAGCAAATCACTCAATATGACTTTATATTAATGTATATAGTAATCAAGATACACACAAATTTGACCAAAGTTTTACCACTGCATATGTTCCACTATAGTCTATAAGTGGATATATTTTGCAGTAGTTAAATTAATTAATATGAGCACTTGAAAGTAGATACATCATGCAATCTATATAATATAGAGGTAGTATATATTAGGTACTTACATTAATTGGCGTTTTGTCGATTTTGTCACTTTGATCTCAAATATCTGGCGTTTGGTTAGGAATTCCAAATTTAAATTTATTTTAGTTAGTATGGAATAGATAGACCATACATTATATGCTATGTAGCCTACAGCCTTCTTCAATAAATGGGTTCTTCTTCTTGGGCTATCTTGTGCATAAAGAATTTTTGAAATCGGTTTAGTAGTTCCTGAGATTAGCGCGTTATAACAAACAAGCACAAATACTGTCTCTTTATAATATTAGTATAAAAGGCTTGTGTATTTATATTTCGAATTTAATGATTCATTTGTTTTCGCGCCATTTGATTGTTCTTTGACATCGTTCTGTTCACAATATGGTAAACTTAAAATATCGCTTTATTTACGTATACGAGTTCCACCATAGCACCAGCGCTGCAGAAACAGCTCGAAAGATTAATAATGTGTATGGGGAAGCTACTGCAAAAGAAAACACGGTACCTACGTTTTTGGTTCCAACGTTTTCGGTCTGGAAATTTTTACCAACCCAAACAGTTTGAACAAACCCCGTGGAAGGCCGGAGACCCTAGATGACAATGAGGAATTAAAAGCGACAGTGGAAAAGGAACTATCGGAAACCACGTTAGAGATAGCGCCAAGCTTCTGTGTGCGTGATAAAACAATTTTAATTCACTTGAATCAAATTGAAAAAGTGAAAAAGCTCAGAAAATGGGTACCGCATGAATTGAGTGAAGCACACTAACAAACACGCGTCGAGTGCTGCGTTCGTTACTTAACCATCATAATAACGAGGGGATTTTGAATCGTATCGTTACTTGTGATGAAAAATGATCCTGTACGATAATCGGAAAGGCTCATCACAATTGCCGTACCCGGGAGAACCGGCGAAATCGTGCCCCAAGCGAAAGTTGTCTCAGGTGTCTGGTGGACCTGTGCTGGTGTCATCCATTAGGGCTTCCTTAGATCTGGCCAGACGTTAACGGCAGGTCTGTATTGTCAACGATTGCGAACTGTGATAGAAAAGCTAGCCGATTGTTTCTTTCTGTTGCTTCAGAATAACACTTAGACCACATACTACAACAGACGGTCGCTAAATTAGAGGAGCTGCGGTTGGAATGTCTTCGACATTCACTATACTCCTCGGATCTTGCTCCAACAAATTTCCACTTTTACCGGTATTTAGACAATTTCTTGTGAGGGAAAAAATTCAATTCCGATGATGTAGTCATAACAGCCTTTAGAGATTTTATTGATTCTCGCTCTCACAATTTTTGTACTACCTAAAAAATGGCAAAAGTGTATAGATAACAATGGACATTTTTTTTTCGTTTTGCTTTTTCCATATAAAACGCCAATTTCAATGAAACTACCTAATAAATATTAAAGATAAGAAATATCATAGGTATTACATAACTTATGTGCGTCATTTTTTTCTAAATTGACTAGTGGCAATGTAGTAAACCTAAATAAATGTTTAAATGGACAATACTTCTTATGTATCTAAGTTCAATTACTGTACATATGTACTTCATTACTGAAGAATCACAGAATCAGGCTTAACAAAAGCAGATTATTATTAGAGCATTTCAATTAGGAGGAAATAAAAGTAATCAAATTTTCACAACAAAACTGAAGTTTTGATTTCTTATTCAAAAATATATAAAGTTCGAAAATATGCAATATGTACCTATATTTTTTATTCAACTGATGATCGATCATGTTTAAAAAGTTATTTTTCATGTTATTTTATAATAAATTTAGTTATTTAAAATGTATTAACAAATAATTTTTTGAATGGTACAGGTCTTCTCCTAGCAGGGTGGTGGGCGGTCGGTGGTTGCGTCAAGTACGTAAAGCAAGCCGCAGTCGTCGGAGTAGACACAACGCTACATCACCCTCATCACGCACCAGCCGACACTCTTCTAGTCGTGCATTTGACACAGAACCGCGGACGCAGGTAGAACTTCGGAGAAGCTCACGTCTCGTCAACACGCTACCTCGTTCTGACTACTCCATCTCCGAACGGTGGTCGTACGGAGCGGACGTGTATGAGACTCGCTACGATACTACCAATTATAAGCACGGAGATACATCCAAATCCTCGACAAGTCAAGCCAAGCGCAGTAGGACTTCGTCGCATGACAGAAAGAAACGTAAAAGTTTCAACACAACGAATAACACATCAACAGACGATTGCGTTGCATATTGCACGCGCTCACGTACTGCTCTTAAATCGACTGAGAGCGTTTGTGAGCAGATTCCGAATACTTTAAAAGTCACTTCTCTTACGCGAGTCTCACCTAACCAAAGCGCTACAGAAACTTCCACACAGCAAGTTCCAATCAATCAGACAGAGGGTGGTTTGCTTCCTCTAGACGAGAGAGATTTTGCCTATTCACCGTTTAGCTCCTCGACTATCACAGATTTATTAGATTCTGATTATTCTGTATATAGTCCTACAGCTAATCGGAGAAAAGGAAAGAAAAGGAAACGTTCGACGCATCGTTCTTTGCCACACAGAAAGAGCAACTTTTTGATTGATTTAGAAGAGTGCAGAAAGAAATTTAAAATAGACTCGCAAAAAGATATCCCAGAAAGTAAAAACGACTTAGTAGAAAGTCTTACTCCTGACTACGATACTGAAAGAGCAGAAGCGTCAGCGGCACAACCGTGTACGTACCGGCTGCGTAACAGACACAATCGCGACCTTGGACCACCCACTTCAACGGTTATCAGCGATAACATAGGTAATATTTTGTTTTGAAATGATTTTTAAGAAATAACACGAAAAATTAATTGCTGCAATTAGTTGCAAAAATATAATTCCGCTCGATAATAGATCATTGTTAAGTCATGCTCCCGTACCTCTATGTTATATTTAATACGAGGCTTGCTGTGCAGCTTATCAGCTATTCTTATCACATATCAAGTGCAGGCATTCATTGTAGATAACAATAATTATAATTGTATCATTATAGCTAGTCCTTCGACGAGCGAAGTGGTTCATACACCAACAGCAGCAGAGCGTAAAAGCTTCCAAGATTATCGCGGAAGGACCACCACTCCGCCGCCATTTAGAGATTTACAAGGTAAACAATATTGTGAACAGTCACCTCTACACTATTGCTGTCCTTCTTTTACTTTTTAAATGAAATATAATATTATTCAAATTATTTTACAGAAGCCAGCTCATCCAAAGGCCACAGTTCTGACAGTAAACTATTAATAGTTCCACGCGATCTCCCTTACTTACGTCAAACTAACGCTCGTAGGGTATGTTTAAACAATTTTGTAATTTTTTTTTATAATTATTTTCTATCTATTTCAAAGTCTATTCAGATATTGTAATAAGAGGACAAACGTATATTGTTTTACTTCTTAGAGGGTTCTTGTATTACGCATAGAAATGTTGTATTAGCTCAGTTCATAAACGGCTTTACCGATTTTGATGATTCATATGTCGTAAGATTTGTCTTGATAACGTGAGTGTCATAGGCTATATAAATATCATAAAAAGCCGAAATGGCAGATCTGAGGCGTTGATTTGTCTATATTAAAATTTTTATTTTGTCCAAATCGATTGAGTACGGTATCAAAATATAGGCTTTTAAAAGACCATTACAAAAATATACACAACTTATATGTTTAAAAATCATTTTGGATAAGAATTTGTTAAATAAAACTAAAAATGTCTCCCTGACCAAAACTAAAAAGTTTTAAATTGTAAGATAGTTTGAAATTTGTGCACCGTCAACGTTAAAGAGTGGGGTCTACAGAACAGTATTTAAAAATGTGTTGTTGTCTATAATTGAGGAACAGTTATTCATATTTTTCTTATGTTTGTGTTATTATGCCAAAATTGGGATTGAATATTAAAATAAATAAATTGTGTTGAAAGGTGTTTCTCTCTGAGCCATTTCCTTTTAAAATAAAAATGACAAAAATAAAGATTGAGACATACAAGATTTATATTTTACTATTTAATTATTATTTTAGTTTATTTAAAATTAACATTAGTTTTAGGCTAACAGTAATATATTTACTCATTTAAAGAGTATCGCTGCTGCAACGGGTGCGACCCTGGGTGCTTGCTTGACGAGGGGGGCCAGTACTTCACAACGCCAGAGACAGGAAACTGCCTCTAAAAGACAGGTTTCTATTTCTACTTAATTTCTTCTTAAATGTTTATTTTTATTAGCAATAAATTAAATTTCGTGGAAGACAGACTTAGGTAAAAGTGAATTGGTAAACTCTTAAACAGCTATTGGTAAAACTTTCGGGTCAGGACTAATTTGATTAGTTTTGACGTGTCATTCTGTACATTTGGTTAAAAGGGGGATCAAATATAATTAATCATTATTATTATATTCAGACTTCAGTAATAGCCCATGGTAACACATTCCCTTGTAAATTCAAATGGAGTAAGTAGGTTCAAACATTGGGTCTCGCATATTTTATAAGTAAATCTTCCTCAACACAATTGCTATTTGCATTAGGGTGAAAGGAACATAATGAAGAAACCTGTATATCTAAAAGAACTAACTAGTTTTTAAAACATACATATATTTCGCACGTTGCCAAGGTAGTGATCGCCCTTGTGTTGAACAGAAACCCATGTCAATTAGTGGTATGTAAAAAAGGTCAGACTTATAATCTATATTCTATAAAGATAAATAAAATTGAAGTGTCTGTTTGTAATGTCAAAATAACAGCGTTTTACTAAATGCATATAAAATTATATATGGTACTTATAAGACAAACACATTTTTTTTTAATTTTTGTCTGTCTGTTTGTTCCGGATAATTTCTGAAACAGCTGGACTGATTTTGACGGGACTTTCACTGAAAGATAGCTGATGTTATAGGGAGTAACATAGGTAACTTTTATTTTAGAAACAGAATTAGAGTTCCTCTCAAAAAAATTAAAACGTACATACCTAGGGACGAACCCGAGCGAAGCGTGTTATTATTAATTAAAAAGGTACTTGTGTTTGTATTAAAATGAGATGTGTTGTGGTCACAGTCGAGCGGGGGCGAGGAGGCGGGCAGCAGCGCGGGCGGCGGGCGGCGGGCGCGGGCGCGCGACATGCCGCAGCCGCACACGCCCTCCACCAGACGCGACAAACGAGGTGACTATAGATACTATTCCTACTGTTACTATTATCACGAGGAAAAATAATAATATTTAAAATAAAACGGGGATTAATTTGGGTTTTTGGTTCTAGGATTAATTTTGGTTTCTGGCTCTGGTAATGTTTTACAGCAAACATGATCAAGTGAGAGACCGGGTCGATGTGATTTCTTAGTATAGAAAAAGTTTATTGGCCGGAGCTTACAGTAGTATATTAGGTGTATAGTGGAATATTAATGTATTTGTAAAGCCTTCGTAGCTGGTCCTGCTTGGATCAAATCAAGGCGTGATACTAGTATCTGTTAGTTATTAAGTATTTGAAAATTATGAAAATTAAAAATTATTAGCTTAGAATAAGATAATTAAGAGATACCTGTCTCACATCATTATGGCATAATATAAATTTTCTTAATCTTTTTCCGTGTTCTTAAGTGGCTTAATAAAATAAATTCTTATGTAGAAATATATGAGGAAAACTGGTGACAGTGGAATAAAAATGTGTGTTTGTTTGAATTAGCAGGTAAAAGCAGCCTGGGTTCGTGTGCCAGCACCGGTGGCGCGTCCAGCCGTTCCCATCCCCAGCCTTTAACCACGGTAAGATTTTTTAAGTACTACTTTTTCGTGTTTTGACGTTTTGACGATGCGGTAACAGACAGACAGACAAAACTTCTAAAAAGTATAGATTCGACCTCTGTATCGATAATAATGTTTATTCCAATAAGATTTTCCAAAAAATATTTAATGTATAGATTCGGCTTAGTTACAATTTTATTATATGTATAGATTTCTTTATTATATACTTCCCAATACAAACTTTTATGCCAATTTTTACCCCCTCAAGTGATGACTTCTGGGATAAAAAGTATCATGTGTCCCATGGTCTATATTTATCAACCATGGTCTCAAATTATCTTCTCATCAAATTTCATCTAAATCAGTTCAGTAGATCCAGAGATTATCCCCTACAATGTCACAAACTCCCAATCTCACAAACTCACAAACTTTACCTCTTTATAATATTAGTTTAGACAAAAATCAAATGTAAATAATTAGAGGAACTAAGAAATATTTGTATAAGAGAACTTTAATTTCACATACAAGACACATGCACAATAAGGAATTTAAGCGTTAAAAACGAAGACGGAAGGAGAATTAGACGTGTCGGTTGTTTAATAATACTAAGAATTATTTTTTATCATATAAAAGAAGAGTAATAAAGCTTTAATCGTTCAAAGGAAATTAATATAGAGGACACTTAATTATTTCTCAAATGACCTATAATTAGTTAATTAATTATGTCTAAACATAACTGCGTTGCAGAATTGTGTTCATTCAGAGAAGGATTTTGGGACTGTATTTTGTGTGCTCCAATGCAAAGTAAAAAAAGGTCAAAATGGTTTCTTTAATTCTTAGCAATGTTATTAGTAGCCTCCATAAGAGAAACAAGTGATTATCTATCAAATAATAACATCCCTTAGTAGATTATTACTACATATCACAATGTATTGAAAAACATTATATTTGCAGGGTGCGGTGGCATCCACGTCGTCCACACCGCCGGTGACAGCTTCGGCCGCTTCCATGCCTGATAACGCGTCTAACGATGCGAAGCCTAAGGGCAAAGGTATGTTATAATGTCTTATGGTTAACTTATTATTACAACGGAATCTAAACAAATTATTATTATTGTTTTCTTAGTAAGAATTAAGTAATTTAAAGCTATAAACATTTTAGGTAAGATTAAGCTATCACTAAAAACTAGCAAATTATAATTTAAGGTCACTTAAATAGGTACATAAAAATAACGTTTTTCTTATATCGGCACAAACTAGGACGAATATCTGACTGGCCTATGTAAATATAAAAACGTGCAAAGATTGAATTCATAACTATTGATGTAGAGATCAGTTCAGTACCGTAATAAACGTTTAAAGGATTAGGAGCTTACTTATTTGAAATTCGAACTCGTTCTACAAAACCAACTTCACTCCAGTGATTGTACTAATTGGTATTGCGTGTATTTTAGCGGAGGAGTGCGGTGCGGGTCTGGGCGGGAGCGGGGCGGGCGCGGGCGCGAGCGCGGTGGCCGAGGAGTCCTCTTCGGAGGAGGGTGAGGTAGGCCGCCTGCAGGCGCTGCTGGAGGCCCGCGGCCTGCCGCCCCACCTGCTGGGCGCGCTCGGTCCGCGCATGCAGCATCTGCTACATAGGACTGTTACTGCTAATTCTGGTGAGTTTAAGCTTCAAGATACGAGTTACTTCTGTCAATTCAATTCTCTTGTTAGTTAGTGGCTTTAAAGCGTGCCAGTTGAGCACAGATTACTTCGCCAATGTCTGTAGATTGGAGAAGACAAAGGAGATTGGACGGTAGTACTAGCAGACTAATGTAACTGTAACAAAAAAATATCTACTACTGTCACGTCAGAGATTATTTTTTCCCAACAAACATTTCATCATACTCCGCCAGCCGCATCGAAAGCCGCCCAGCTGCTCGCGGGGCTGCAGGCGACGGGCGACGAGGGCCAGCAGCTGCAGGCCGTCATCGAGATGTGCCAGTTGTTGGTGATGGGCAATGAGGACACGCTGGCCGGCTTCCCCGTCCGCCAGGTTGTTCCCGCGCTCGTCAACCTGCTCGCTGCTGAGCATAACTTCGATATGGTAAGTTATGTTTGTTCGTCTTGTTGAGGTTAAGATTAATTAGTAAAGTATAAAGTAATATAATTTTGTATGTCGTATAAAAGACAAGTGTCGACTAGCTATATTCATTTTGTCTAAGATATTAAGTTTATTCTCACGATTCATTCTTGGTTTCTGTACTGTTTAATTCTGGTTTTATTGTAGAGTAAGAAGAGTATAAAAGATATGTTGGTAGTGTATAGTTATTAGTATCGCAAATTTTAAAATTATTAATATAACCTTTCCCCAGATGAACCACGCATGTCGTGCGCTCACCTACATGTTGGAAGCGTTACCTCGCAGTAGTGGCGCGGTGGCGCTCGCCGTGCCCGCCTTCCTCGACAAGCTGCAGGCCATCACCTGCATGGACGTGGCCGAGCAGAGTCTTACAGCCCTGGACATGCTGTCCCGTAGACACTCCAAGGCTATATTGCAAGCGGTGAGTTAGTTAAACCTATTATGATAATAATATTGTAGGAGAAATAATGAGCGTTTCAGTAAAATGAAGTAATGAAAGGGGAAAATTTTTATTTGTATAAAATTATATAATAATCAAAAAATTTCCTATAAAATCTTCGGTACACTTGGTCAGTAATAGTAACCAAATTTTTTTACAACAGAGAGGTGTATCGGCTTGCTTAACTTACCTGGACTTCTTCTCTATCAACGCCCAACGCGCAGCCCTGTCCATTACAGCCAACTGCTGTCAGAATCTCACTCCAGATGAATTCCATCTTGTCAGGGATTCGTTGCAGTTACTAGCCAACAGGTAAATATTATGTTAACAATCAGATTGTGCCTATATTTATATTAATGTACTGAATTCAATAAAAATGATTTTATACTATAACAACTATATTTTTAGATTAACTATTCAAGACAAAAAGTCTGTGGAATGTGTATGCCTCGCCTTCTCGCGCCTCGTGGATAGCTTCCAACATGATCCCGCCCGCCTGCAAGAGATTGCTACACCTGAGCTACTTACAAATTTGCAACAACTTGTAAGATTATTTGTTTTGTTACCTTTGTATTATAAGCAAAAAAATAAAATGTGTAATGATATTTAAAATTATATGTATCTGTAAGTTTTTATTATATTTCATATTTGTTAATTATTTTCATCTTTTATTTTTTAATTATTCAATAATATTTCTTCGCAATATCATACTTTATAATTTACATAAATATTTTAAATATATCTTCCACTATTATTGCAAACTTCTTGTTTTAAATCTACGAGAATAAGGATCACAATATTTATTCAAAATCTAAGTCAATAAACTTAATAAATTCACAATTCCATCCAGCTGGTGGTACAGCCCCCGCTTATCTCTGGCGGCACGTTCATCACGGTGCTGCGTCTGCTGTGGGTGATGTGCGGCGCGTGCCCGCAGCTCGCCCTCGCTCTGCACCAGCGGTCCATTGCTGATACGCTGCTGTGTCTGCTCACCGGATCTACGTTGCATCAGGAGGTCGTTTTTATATATTATTATTTATTACTATGAAACGATTATTATCATGTCCTTATATCATTGATAAATTGAGTACATTACGATACATGTGACTTTAATTGTCTATGTTATTGCACGGCGTTAGTTAAAGCCTGAGCGTACCGCTACGCTTACTATACTACTAGCGACTCACGCTCGCTTCGTTCGGTTTCGTCCCTAGGTAAGTTTTAACAGTTAGTATGGAATAGATAAACTATATATTTTATGATATATATATATATATATATATATATATATATATATATATAGCCTATAGCTTTCCTCAATAAACGGGATATTTAATGCAAAAATATTTTTTTTCAAAGCGGATTAGTATGTAGTTCCTGAAATTAGCGCATTCAAACAAACAAACTCTGCCTGTTTGTAATATTAGTATAGATAATTAATATTAATTTAGATATACAATCCAACTCGTAGTAAATATATTATTATTTAGAACATTTATTTTTAAAATATACTTATTAAATACTTAAAACTTATTTTCTTTTTTTCAAGCAAACACACTTTTTTTTATTATTACATAGTGAAAAATCGTTTGTTTAATTCGCTGATAGCGTTACGTAAGTCGAGGTTTAAGTGTATTACCTGTTTGATATTTCTTCATGTTAAAGAAAAAAAACCTTTTTTCTAAAACATTATTTTAGTATGTATTTTAATTATATATAAAATTACTAACATAATTTTATTTTCCCAGCAAGTGGAGTTAATTCCACGTCCCCCGCAAGAGCTGTATGAGATAACATGTCTCATAGGCGAATTGATGCCGCGGCTGCCGACCGACGGCATATTCGCCGTGGACGCGCACCTCGACCGGCCCTGGTCGGCGCCCACCGACCGCTCCGCACAGTGGCAATGGAGAGACGACAGAGGTAACTTAGGTTCAAGAGATCACAATGTTTACAAGGACCCACAATTCATATGACTACTATGTTTTATACTCTAACTAAACTAAAATAAACTGCCTCGGTGGTGTGTCTAGCATGTACGGCTGCACACCCGGAGGTCCTGGGTTCGAGTCCCGGGTCGGGTCAAGTTTAGTTATTGAGTCTTCCTATATAGTAAGTCTCAGTAACAGCCCGGAGTTGGGAAGTTGGCGGTGTTTCACCCCCGTGCCTCGGAGAGCACGTAAAGCCGTCGGTCCTGCGCCTAAACTCTCACCGGTCGTGTCGAGTGGTCGTCCCACCGGAGTATGAGAGTGATAGGAATAGAGAGTGCACTTGTGTCTGCGCGTACACTTGAGCACTATAATATCTCCTGCGCAGTTGGCTAATCTCATTGAGATTGGCCGCCGTGACCAGAATCGGCTAGGAGAACATCAACATCATCATCATCATGTTTTATAAATAACCAATATGTTTATAATTTTTTTCTTAATTTTATTTATTATTTATAAATTTATTTTGTTCTGCTTTAAAATCCAACAAACACCGGGATAAACACCAGGAGATGATAAGTTATCGAAAGGCGCTAGGTCGAAACCTCCTCGTACACATTATACTCCATAAAACACTTTATAGGCATATGGAGGTCATACTCATGGGCCGAATGTCGTGCGCTAGAGGCGGGCGCGGCGGCAGGCGAGGAGGAGGTGTGCCTCAGCACGCTGGGCCGCTCCTACACCGTGGACCTGACTGCCATGCAGCAGCTCAACGACCACACGGGCACCGCGCGCCCCGTGCAACGCGTCGCGCCCGCGCCCGGTCCCGCCGACGCCGCTGCCGCTGCCGCCAGCCAACCAGGTTTTTACACCTTTTTTTTTTAAATTATAGCAATACTATGTTCAATGTAATTAAAAGTTCTACGAAGGTTTAAATATTTGGTATTGGTTTTAAATTAATCTACTAGGATTCAATTAATTACTCGGAAAATTTTTTTTCTTTTTTTCCTTCCAATGTGTTTAAGCGCCAGTTTCTATTAATAAGCACAATACTGAAGCATTAATAAATTAACATTAAATTGAACCATAATTATAATTATACCAATGCATTATCCAATTAAAAAGATTAAAAAAATTCACGATTACAATATTAATAATAAGAAAAATAAAAGGCTTATATTGCTATATAAAAGTAATAGCAGTATTTACGTTACGTATGTGCCGATCCCTAATAAAATGAGTTATGTATATGTATTATGTACTGTGTACAATTAGACCCTCGCATCGCAATGGTGCGCTGTAACCCGTCGCTGGTGCGCGCGCTGCTGGGCGTGCTGCACGAGGTGTACTGGAGTTCGGCGGGGCCGGCGCTGCGCGCGCAGGCACTCAAGGCCATCCTGCGCGCCGTCTTCTATGCGGATGCTACGCTGCTTCGGCAGGTCCTGAAGACTCAGGTAGTCTACTACATACACACACACTAGATCTATGTAGCATTTAAATATTATTCTCTTAGCAAATATTTTTCTTAAAAAATAAAACTTAAAAATAAAAACCCTTCTTAAAGTCCTCATGGCATGACTAGTAAAAAAATATATCTATTGATGAAAGGTTAAGTATAAATGTTCGTTTTTATGAGTTCACTAGGGACTACCCTACGCAAGATACATTTTAATTATTTTTGAAATAAGCCTATGTTTCTCCTTATAACAGTCCCGTCAAATCAGTCCTACCGTTCCGGAGATTAGCCGGAACAAACAGATGGACAAAAATTTTAAAAATGTGGTTTTCTTAAAAGTACCATATGTAACAAACAGGCGCTTCAATTTTATTTAGCTGTATAGATAAGTGCTTTGCAGATGTTCACAGCAAGTGAGTACACAATAACTGTTTAAAAAAGGTAAATGTATAACAAATAATATTGATTTTAAGGTTATATCCTCCCACATCGCGGGCATGATGGCCTCAAGCGACTTGCGCATCGTGGTCGGCTCACTTCAACTAGCAGAGATACTCATGCAGCGACTGCCCGAAGAGATGGGCGTCCAGTTCCGTCGCGAGGGCGTCCTGCATCAAGTGGCGCAGCTCGCGGAGCGCGCGCCCGGGGTTTCCACTCCCAGACAGGCCAAGTTGAAGGTTTGAAAGCTAATAAATATATTAAGATTAATCTAAAATCTTTAATGGTAGTCCTTTTAGAGCTGACATTTTAAAGGTAAAGAGAGCTCCATGGTTTAGTAGGGAGTAAGTTTAGAAGATACCAAAAGTAATTTTCTTTACAATAGAATTATCCATAACTTCAATAATTTAGCAAATTGAGGTAATAATGTTCAAAGAGGCCCCTTAACTTTATTGCTATTGGAAAATTTGTTCCACGAACTTTTGCATGTCTCCTCTTATATCCTCGACCTCGTCATTCCAAAAATTTTATAATAAATAATTTATTACATAAAAAATGAAAATGTTTCCGGATCTTTGATGTTTTAATTTATAAAATATTTCCTCAGTCGCCAATCGGCACAAGTGTGCGGACGAGTGGCGGCTCCTCACCTCCCGCGTCCACGTCTACATCGTGCATGGACCACCACAACTTGTCGCTCGCATTCTCTGCGTCTGGTTCATTCATAGCTAGCTCTAGTGATAGGAACTTACGGAACTGTGAGTGAATTTAAATGGATAATGAATAAATTTTTTATACCCATTTTTTAGAACTTTTACTTGTCTAGTGCTAAGCTATAATATTTTTTAAATGTAGAGAAGTGTTTATATATTTTGAGTTGATTAAAAGTTGTCGTACAGCAATATCTAATATAAAACAAGAATCATAAAAATTATCTACTGGCTGTGTGATAGTAAAGTCCCTAAAGTCGAAATTTAAATCTAGATTATTAAAAATTAATCTAAAGCTATGTAAATTATTTTTAAATATTATTAATATCTTTTCTATAGTTGCACCAATTGATAGTGGCAGCTCAGAAGCTGGTCCAGCGACATCAGCATCCAGTCACCAACAGGCACCAACTACAGTTCACAGGCTAGTTTACGTTTTAAGAACAAAAATAAATAAATTAATATAAGTATTGTTTCTAAAGTATATGTTATTCAATTATAGACAATTCCTTTTCATTATTATCTATATATAATAGTGACTTACTCTCCTTTCGCTTAAGTGCGCCACTAGGTACCTAACAGGTCATAGTCTATCTTTGTATTAAATTATATCATCCAAATCTGTCCCACCGTATACGCATGAAAGGCTAACAAACATACATAAAAACTTTCGCATTTAATATAATACTCCGATATCTTTATCAGATCCGGCAGCCCACTCCAGCTCGCAGAAATGCTAAAGCGCAAGCGCGCAGTGAAGCGCTCGGGCGGCGCACGGCAGCAGCGCGGCCGCCGCGACGACGCGCCCGCCGCGCCCGCCCCCGCGCCTGCGCCCTCCGCCGCCGCGGTCGCTGCGCATTGTAAGTAGCTACTTTAATTAGTAACTTCTAGCAAAGGTTACAATCAAGTTACACCGTTTAAGCTGAAGTATTAAGAAGTGTTGGGAAAAAATAGATTTTAGGTATTTTTTTTTAAGTAATAAAATGTATTTTTTTTAATTGTGCCGCTTTAAAACTATAATATTTCATATATATAGACAAATATAAATTAACCGAAAGATATTCCCAAAAAGATATTTAGATTTTAAGATATAGAGCTATTTTTGTAGTGTAACGTATTTCAAAGCCTCTCGTATCTCTTTGTCTGATGAACACATTAAATAATGCATTTTAATTTCTTAATCTTTACCTTTTTACCAGCTTCAACAGTGGTATCAGCAGCACGGTCAGGCACGCGCGCCGGTGCGTCCAAGACGTCGTCTTTCCTGTCGTCCCTCAACCCGTCCCGCTGGGGCCGCGCGCCGCACGCGCACAAGGAGGCCGCGCTGCTGGCCGCACCGCACGCCGCCAACCTTACCGTGCAGAACAAGTCAGTGTAGCACCAGCTCGTATTAGTTGCAATTACATATGATACCGGCCAAATTCGATCTTCAGACAAGCCTTTTTTTTAATGTTTTGAAATGTTGGAAAAATGCATTTACGCGTACCACCTGCATACATACAAGTAGTTATGTGGGACTCACCGGCTAGAGAAACCAGTACTACCTCCTAAAACCCAACAGAATCTCCCCCGTATTAATGGGGTGTCGCAGGATCGCTTACGCATCCAACTACGATGCCCCGATGGCAAGTCTGTTGAAGCAGACCACAATATCCGTAAGGTTGCTTCTACGGTCCCCTCTGCTATCAGAGAAGTACCTGAAGCATTCCGCATGGCACACCTATAGAGGTGGACTGCCTCCCAGTACATGTCTTGGCTGGATTGCCGAATGCTAGTGAGGTCTATTGCGTGTTGTGGAGCTAGTGAAATCTGGTTTGGCTTGTTACATATATAATGTATATAAATATAATAAATATTGTACACTATTTTAATCATAAACCTTTTCCATTTAGCAACACGATGCTTGAAGGTAACATAGTAACACAAAGTACTACACAAATATTAACTAGAATTCGCAATACTAGGGAGAAGGTTCGTGAATGGGTATCGTGGCGGGCGACTCGTCTGCAACGTGAGTGGGGCGCGCTGGGCGGCGGCGCCGGCGCGCTGGAGCAGCTGGCGGCGCTGGCGGCCGCGCTGCCCACGCGCGCGCTCGCTCAGCAACGCGCTGCGCTCACGCATCTTCGCGACACGCTGCTCAATCACGACGTGTCACCTTTCGAGGTCAGTTGTTTTAATTGTTATTTTTTAAAATTATACTTTTTTGGCACGTTTGAAAAAAATATCAGAATAAAATTTTTATGAACGCGCGCACACCGACAGCCAAAAAGCGACATGATGAAGTTAGCTGTGGAATACAGCTACAGCTTTTACAAATAGAGAGTTGTGATATACGGGATGAAATCTTTTGCTATTTTTGTTCTGTTATGCCAAAGAAGTATAACTTCTTATGTGCGTACATAAGTACACACACAACTTTTTTTTGTAAATAGTAAACTAAAACGTATAATAAAGTTAAGCTTAAGGATACTTCAGGCGTTTTTAACGGTTCACTGCTGAGCACTGGCTCTTCTTCAATACGAGGTTCACAGGCGATAAGCCAATGGAAAATTCAATTACTTTTTTTTACTATATTAATGCAGATAAGGCCCTACCCTGGCAAATAGGGTAATGAATACTGCAGTAATAATATAGAGATTTACAATGTATGATTTTTGATCCTAGGTGAATCATTCCGGAGTGCTGGGTGCGCTGCTGCAGTTTCTGACGGGCGTGGCGCAGGAGAGTGAGGTGGGTGCAGAGGCCGAGCGCGAGGAGGGCGAGAGGGACTCGCCAGACCAGCTGGCCGCGTGCGAGGACCGCCTCAGGCTCTTCCTACACGTATTCGCAGATATACCACTTGTTGCTGAGTATGTATTGTTGAATTATGTATTTTTATGTCTATAACCTAAGACATTATTGATATATTTTGTTCAATATTTACAAGAATTTGAATGCTTTGATCCCTTAAGTAAGATTTACGATAGTAATAAAGAAACCTGTTAACGGAGACGACGCTTTCCCGTTATGACACCAGGATGTTAAGGTTTTTACTGTAAAATCATATTTATTCAATTAGGAAACTGTCTCTTGTTATTGAGCTTTATAACGAAAAAGATAGGACATTATATTAACGTTTATTAGTATAAATGATTAACAATATGGTTTAACACCACAGTGATGCCGAGTGGAACGAGAAGGCCCTGCTACTGAGCGGCGGCGCAGGTGCACTGGCGGCGCTGGTGGGCAAGGTGAATGCGTGCGTGTCCCACCTGGAGCAGTTCCCCGTGCGCGTGCACGACCTGCCCGCGCGCCCCGCCACCTCCGCGCTCAAGTTCTTCAACACCCATCAGCTTATGGTATGCTTATCAATTTAATCAAGTACTTAATTAATCAAAATATATTATTATTTAAATAGACTTTTACAAGCACTTCCGTAACTCTTACATCACTATTTACCAGGGCTGCCAGTAGAGACAACTGCTGCCAGTAGAGCCAACTGATTTCATACGATTTGGCATAGTCCTGCTATTTACGTTTACAAAATTTAAATCAAATATCAGTATGTAAGTCATGCATACTGTCGTAACGAAGGTTTCTAGACTGGGCGATTGGCAAGCGTACTTTCCTCAAGAATGGGCGGACGGGAGACACAGGTGTAATACGAACTTTTATATGACACTCGCGAAACGGCTTTAGGATTTACGGGTATAATTTCAATCACCTATTGAGGCAAACCGAAAAATTCTTCTCTGTTTTGTCTGGAGCTTTGTCATACTAATAAATCCTAAATTGCAATATATTTCATATCAATATTGTTGTTTCAGTGTGATCTCAAACGTCATCCGACTTGCACCAACTTAAAACAATGGAAAGGCGGTGTAGTGCGGATAGACCCCTTAGCTTTAGTCCAAGCCATTGAACGGTGAGTGTTAGCATTTATCTTATTACAGCAAGCAGCAATGAATTTAGAATTGTCATATAGCTTTAGTAAAAAATTTACTTGTCACTTTTTATTAAATTTATACGTTAAATAAAGGTTCAATATTTATTTTTTTAGATATCTAGCGACCCGAGGATATGCGCGGCGTGCGGGCGCTCAGTCTGACGACGAGCCCGCTTCCGACGACGACGTGGACGACACGCTCGCCACTCCCGCGCATCATCCCACTGAGTTAGTACTAAATATAAAAAAAAGTAGGATTTGAATGTTAGAGTTAAAGAAAAAATATTTACTCATTTGTATCTTTGCCAAAAAATGTTTTAAAAGAACATGTAATTATTATTTTTTTCTTGTAAGGAGTATACAGAACCTTATTAACCTATTCTAATTACTTTCCAGTGCCGATCATAAGTTAGAATTCCTGATTGGCGATACGGTTCTACCATATAACATGACAGTTTACCAGGCTGTTAGGCAATTTGGTGAACAAACAGATGCAGACACTGACACAGAGACTCCCCTAGGTATCTATTTTAATTTTAATTTTTACTAAATATGGTTTTACTTTTTATATAACGTGTATGGAACACCGCACAAGAAGTCTTTAGTTAATAAATCAAAATTATCACATGTTGGGTTTTGTTTCGTATTTAATATTTCCCTCCTACTCTCTATAAACTGTACATAACGAAACTGAATGGCTGTCCACGGACAGATCATAATTTATAACTACTTTTACAAAAGTAGTATATTAAACATACAACTTCAGCTATTATATTGACTATCCTCAATGTATTATTGAAATAATCGTTGTAGCGAACGCGGGTATCTGGGTGCAAACGCACACCATCTACTACCGCGCCGTGGAGGCGGCCGAGCCACCGCGCGCCGATGCCGCCGCCTCGCGCAAGGGCAAGGGACAGCCCACCAAGCTTTCCTCCAGACGGAAACCGGACTCGCTTTGGAATGGTGAGTTATTGTATATTAAAAATTATAATTATAGAAAACTATAATTATGTTAAATATTAATAGTTCATAACAAGAGTTATTTAATACTAGCATTGCCCGCCCGCGTTCTAATGACCAAAAACCAAATTCTTAGGTTTTACATATAAGTATACTCTTACATTGCAGTTTTTGTTTTTTTTCTCTCAGAAATGAGATATTTTCCCGCGGTAAAAAGTATCCTATATATTGACCCAGATTATCATACCAATTTTCATCAAAATCTGTCCAGTGGTTTTTCTCGTGATGGGGTAACAGACAGACAAAATTTCTAAAAACTATATATTCGAACTCTGTATCGATAATAATGTCTATTGCAATTAGATTTTCCAAAAAATATTTCATGTACAGATTCGACTTAGTTACAATTTTATTATATGTATAGATTTTAGAACGTGTGGTATATCTTTATATGAGGTAGCTTGAAAATAAAATATATTTTATAGAATTGTTGTTGGTCTCTGCTTTATAATAATATCAACACGAATTGGCCATTCAATAGTTTTTTTTTAATAGATTTAAATGATTAAAAATAAATAATAAACTTTATTCCTTGATGACTTATCTTCGCTTCGCTTGGATGCGTCCTAGGTTGACCAATAGAAGCCTATGTGTTTTACCCCACGTGCTCATAGTCTATCTGTGTACTAAATCTAAATGTGTTTCATCTAAATCCGTCCAGCTATTTCAGCGTGTAGAAATAAATAATATACACATATCGCATTTGTAATAATGGTTCATTTACATTTTTTTATTCTAAATATGTATTAGAAAGTTTATAATATTTATTGTATGTATGTTGGTTGGTTGGTTGCAGAGGGCATAGTGCCGCAGCGCGCGTCGCCGCTGGTGGTGATGCTGCGCGCGCCGCTGTGGGGCGGCGAGGCGGGCGAGGTGCGCGACGCGGCGCTGCCGGCGCTGAGCCTGCTGCGCGCGCTGCACGCGCTCAGCCGCCACTGGCACACGCTGTATCGCGCCGCCTGCCAGCCCGACCACCGCCCGCTCGTGTCCAACGCGGAATTCATTAATACTAAGGTATATATGCAGCCCTTTTTAACATCCCACCGCTGGGCACTGGCCTCCCTTCAGTACGAGGGGGATCAGGCCATAGTCCACCACGCTGGCCAAGTGCGGGTTGGCGGACTTCACATGTCTTTAGAAAACTTGCTAGGTTCTCTTAAAGACGTTTCGTCACGATGTTTTCCTTCACCGTAAGGCAAGTGGTAATCATATTAGAAATGATACGCACATGAAAATATCAGAGGTGCGAGACCTGGGATTTGAATCCGCTTCACTCAATTTCCCAAGTGAGCGCGAACCTGACTGGTCGGCAAATGGTTCGAGGCATGGTCGGTCGTGCTTTGTCCAGTCAGTACGCGGCTAATAATTAATTAAAAAAAAAAAAAAAGTTATGATTCATTACTTATTTTACATAATTTAGAGTAGTCTAGTATTCACCTTCGTGCAACATTATTACTATTGGTTGACATTATTTAGAGAGATAGGAAGATTTAATTAATAATATTATATTATACTCAGTTATATTTTAATTAAATATTAGTTTTTGCCAATGGCTTCACTTAAATGGTAGGTATTTATAATTTATATATTATTTATATTGTTGACTATAGTCACACGAATCATTGTGTTACCATTATAGTTTCTGACTTATCACTCTTCTGCAGTTCATAATATGTAAATCAATAATACACTGTTAATATTCTATTTTAATTCAAAACCGACACTGCATATCCAATGAAATAATTTGTTTCCCGCTTACTTATTACCCCACAGTAATGATATTTTCTGTTTGCAGCTTGCCGCCAAGGCTAATCGACAGTTGCAAGATCCACTGGTCATAATGACAGGCAATCTTCCTCCGTGGTTGAAAAAAATTGCTTATGCTTGGTAAGTTAGTATGTGGTATGCGTATATCATAGTAAATATTTTTATAATACATTTGATATATAATCATTGATGGAGATATCTGCTTTTAATGTGGATTTTTTTATATCTTATATCTTTAAATGAGCAATTCTTGTATATATATAATATATAATCTGGATCTCGGAAATGGCTCCAACGACTTTCATGAAATTTAGTGGTCGGGGGTTTCGGGGGCGATAAATCGATCTAGATTAGTCTTATGTCTGAGAAAGCGCGAGTATTCGAGTTTTCATGCAGTTTTCTTTTGCATTATTCCACGCAAAATATGGTCGATAATTTGCACGCTCGGGCACATGCATCGTGGTCAAGCGGCCAAGGTGCAAAATCAACAAACACAGGTGTCCAGGTTCGAATCTCGGTTGTATACAAAGTTTTCACTTTTGTTTTTTTTTTTTAAATAAAAAAATAAAATTGTACTTTATGGCAAAAACTCCGAACGAAGCTCGGTAGCCCAGGTACTATTTAGATAAAATGATAAAAATGTTGAACCAGAAACCATTAAAATAATATTTTTAGACCCCACCATTTATACAGATTAAAATGTACTCCAATATCTTTGACTTCGGTGTCTAAAAATGTTCCGTTTTGTGAATAAATAGTAATAAAAAAAAATATTATTCTAAAATAGCTTGTAAAATAAAAATATTTGCTTACATTGTTATTATATTATAAAAGATGGATCAATTAAGACATTTTATTTACTTTCTTTGTCTCATATACATTATTAGCCTTATTACCTATAGTTATTAATAGTTTGAACATCTTTAGTATGAATACCCACTAAAATAAAAATGTATGATTTATTGAGACATGTTTATTATTGTTTAGTCTATCTAATTTCTTCTTCTTCTTAGTTGTTAGTCTTGACAGACTGGTCGTGGTCATCATCATATAGGTCTTGTAACCCGCTCGACTATTCGCCTCCACTCCTTTCTATTATTTGCGTTTCTCGCATATTCATGCAGTGGGACATCTAGTGTCTGTCTAAATACCTGTTAAAAATTGTGTAAATAAAAAAAAACACTTTTGTCTATTCCATGTGTGCAGTCCATTCGTGTTCCCGTTCGAGTGCCGCCACCTGCTGTTCTACGTGGTGTCGTTCGACCGCGACCGCGCGCTGCAGCGGCTGCTGGAGGCGGGTGGCGAGCGCGCGGCGGCCGGCGCCGACGAGCGCGTGGCGCCGCGCCTCGACCGCCGCAAGCGCACCGTGCAGCGCCACAGCGTGCTGCGCCAGGCGGAGCACGTCATGCACGAGTTCGCACACTCCAAGGTACTTACTGGCTTGCTCTGTTTGTTATTACTGTCATTTGCGTATATTTTTGTTATTGACCGGTTTAAAAACGGGAAAACCGATAAACAGGCGTAGCATAAGGATTTTTTTGTAATACTATTAAAGTTATGTTATATATGCACTTGCTATTCATTTTTGTTAATTTTAAAAAAGAAACTTTTATGTTCTTGCTGTAATTATTGTGTTATTTTTCAGGCTTTACTCGAAATACAGTACGAGAACGAAGTAGGCACTGGACTCGGACCTACTCTAGAATTTTACGCTCTGGTCTCTCAGGAGTTACAGCGTGCCGACCTCGATCTGTGGCATGGTAGCGAAAACTTTAAGCAGAAGCCATCGTTCGGTGGGGAGATCGTCAAGAGCCAGCCTCCCGTCGTGACAGACCGATCGGCCGAGGCCGCCGCGAGGCTTGCCTCCTCCGTGCGCGATACTTTGAATCTCGACGACGAACGTTCTCCGGAACCGTCGGATCTGGAAAAGGAAACCTCCATACCGTCACCCACGCCCGACGCCACTTACGTGACGTGGCCGTGCGGTCTGTTCCCGCAGGCTATCGGACGCAACGCTCGTGCGTCACATCTCTCTAGAGTCAAGGCTAAGTTCCGATTTCTAGGAAAGTTTATGGCTAAAGCTGTTATGGACTCCAGAATGGTGGGTTTAATAACATACTTATATACACTAACGAATTCACGATCCTCGTTTTGTTCGAACGCGTCCCAAGATACCTTATAGTAGCCATTTGCGTTATAATCAATCTTTGTATAATATCTGTAAATGTCATCCAAATCCATCCAGTCTGATGGTGTCACAAAAACATACACAGTGCACACATACATTAATCACAATATTTTTTAAATGACTAACTCTCCACTCAAGTATGGCATATCAAATGATAATTATTTTAAAACCAGGTGGACATACCGCTGTCGGTGAGCATGTACCGGTGGGTGGTGAGCGAGCAGGCGTGGTTGGGGCTGAGCGACGTGCGGCACGTGGCGCCCGAGCTGTGGCGCTCGCTGTGCCGGCTGCGGCGCGTGGCCGACCGCGCGCAGGCGCTCGCCGCCGACGCGCGCCACTCGCCCGACCAGCGCACCCAGATGGTGAGTGCGCAAATTGTTCTATACTCACCACGGAGAATACTTTTCGTTGATACTTTTATTTTTTTTTCTTTTGAAGTAAAACTTCTTTACGCACGCTTGATTTGGGGGGTAAGCTGGTGAATGCGTTACGAAAAAATTTACGTACCGTTGTTATTGTCTGACAAATGATATATAATATTATATTCTTTCCTTAAATGATCTGTGTGCTTTGCTTTGTATCGGCTGGCACCGACTTCGAAATTATTTGATTAGGTATGTATAGTAAATGAAAACTACGTAGTTAAAAAGTTTATATTTTTCCCTTTTTAGTGTAGACTGTCTATAGTAGCAAAGTAAGAATTCTAACGTGTTAGGCTTGTCAAATCAAACAAAATAAGCCCAAAGTATCTACTATTAGCCGTTGAAGAGTTCCGGCCTTACTATCAGATCAGGTCAACAATACTAAATCACTGACTCCTACTATCAACGGAAATAGAAACACTTGCAAAGTTTCAAGTCAATATGACAATTAGAAGTAGGTTAAATTTATCATTAGCTATTTTTCCACCCTTAGGGGTGGTATTTTTTTTTGAAATTTAAATAGGATCAATCTGGAAGTATACACTTCCAACAAAACAAAAATTGTCCAAATCGGTTAATAAATGACGGAGTTCTGAGATAACAAACATAAAAGAAATACAAGCGAATTGAGAACCTCCTCCTTTTTGAGGAAGTCGGTTGAAAACTAAATTATTTTGCTCCTGCCAGATAAATGCACTTGAACTGGACGGATGTCCGATCGAGGAGTTGGGTCTAGATTTTATACTGCCGGGTGACGGCTGTACGGAGCTACGGCGCGGCGGCCGCGACCTCCCTGTCACCGCCCACAACCTACACGAGTACATCGCTCTTGTTACACATTGGTTACTCTATGAAGGTACCACTCTTGCATCCTTTATTTTACTTCTATTATTATTAGTATTACTAGCAGAATCCGCGACTTCACCCGCGTTCAAACTTCCGATCGCTACCAAACTTCGCAGGATCATCTGTTGAGCTAATCTGAAGATTATGTATAAATTTCATTAATAGCCACAGTCACAATAGGGAACATATATAAACTTATCGATTTGTATATGTATATATTATATAGAATTATATTTTGGAACAGTTATCATACATTTTGTATCTTATACATTATAATAAAAACATTTTTATTATTTCTAGGAGTAACCAAGCAAATGGAGGCATTTAAAGAAGGATTTGAATCAGTATTTCCATTAAATAATCTAAAAATATTTTACCCTGAAGAATTAGAACAAGTGTTCTGTGGAAGCCCCTCAGGTAAATATGATATTTTTATAATAAATAAGAATAAAGTAAAACAGTGTGTATGATATCAAAGATATCAATACTTAATGAGTGTAATTTTTTTTATTTTTTTATTTTTGTTAAATGTTTATCACGGAAAAGACTCCCGTGACCATTATTACTATGAACCATTCAAAACGTTGGAAATCCAAAATCAAAATCAAAACCGCCAAATACCCGCAAAAATAGTTTTATTTAAAATGTCAAATATTAGCGTAAATCTAAGAAAGTATTTTGTGAAACTCCTAACACTGCTCATTAATTAGGTGGGCGCGATCAAAGATGGGACCCGCGCATGCTGGCTGAATGCATTCGTCCTGACCACGGCTACAATGCAGAATCACGTGCTATACGCATGCTCATAGACATTCTAGCCTCGTATAATCGAGAGGAGCAACGCCTCTTCCTGCAATTTGTCACTGGAAGTCCACGCTTACCTACTGGAGGTATTGTACCATTTTAAGATTGAAGATTTAAGTTATTAAGATCAAAAAATAAACTTGTCGCCATCAATTTATTCCATAATGCGATTTCTTTATATATTTAAATTAATATTATATTAGGACAATTTACAATATTATAATGTTCCCAGGTTTTAAGGCATTAAATCCGCCGTTGACGGTCGTGCGCAAGTCGCTGGAGTCCTCCCTGGACCCCGACGAGTACTTGCCGTCGGTGATGACGTGCGTGAACTACCTGAAGCTGCCAGACTACAGCAGCGCGGAGGTGATGCGCGCCAAGCTGCGCCTCGCCGCCTCCGAGGGCCAACACTCCTTCCACCTGTCGTGAACACTCCGCCCTCCCCGCTCCTCACGTCACGCTGTTCTAGTGCTAACTGATCTTGTATATCTGTGTGAATGCGGTTAGTGATATAATTAATAATTTTGTTGTAATAGCGGAGCGCAAACTCCGGACTCGTTTATGTGCAATCAGAGTGTTTATTTTCCTATTTTACAGACACTGAAAGTGCTGATATCTATGATTTCTTTTTCTTTTAGATTTTGTTAGTTTACAGAGATAATTTTGTTAATAATTATATTTTGTGTTAACTTAATGTGATAGCTTTGTACATTTCTTTACCTAGATAAAAACTCTCAATATGGTAGGTTAAGGTGTGTCGTGTATACTACTCCAGATCCTTGGGTGGCCATCGCCCGATATGACTGGTGATTTAGTCTCGCCACCACTAATATTCTTTTATCAATATATTTTACTACATAAGCTACATTATGAAGGACCACTAAGGTCTCCTTCGAGAGCCCACATAACATAGCATTTAATACCAAACCATGTATGTTTTGATTAAAATTTAAGAAACATAAATGAGTAAGAAAAAGTGCAAAATTTAATATGTAATAATTTCAATAAAAACCATGTAAACAATATCGATCCAACATTGCGTTTTATTTCATACAGCATTCACATATAAGTCAAACTGGTAGAATTGTAGTTAGCAATATAGCAGTGTCCAAGAAATATTCACTTTCCACCTGGTAAAATTAAATAATGGCTATAAATAAAACAAATTTTTTTCATATTAACATGTAATAATTAGGTAGTAAAGGTTTCATTTTAAAATACATTTTAGAAGTAATTGTTTGATAAGATTTCAACTTAAGATTTTCATTTAACACTGCTCATTGACAAATCACCAAGTACTGATAGGTAAACAAATTAGATCTCCATGTATTTGCAAGAAAAGAAAACGCTGAATATGATTAAAACATTTTAACATAAGTAAAAATAGGATGAGAACAAAATATATATGATTGTGCAGGTTCACAAGGTGCCATTAATATAATATATCCATTTTATATTATTGGACCCTTTTCTCCTCCCAAAATTGACTAAAATATAAGTTTGTAAAACCTGACATGGCTAAATACATACATACAAACGTCTTTATAAAACATTAATTACTTAACTAATATAAAGAGATTAACTATTACGTAATAAACAAGTGGTTTTTTTATTGTAACAAAATATTTTTTCACTCCAGTAAGTGAAAATATTTTATTAATGGCACCTAAATTTGTTTTTTGTTAGAATAAACCAATATTTAAATCATTTTGAAATATTAGCTAGTAAAATATATTAAAAACACAGCTACTTCCTTTTAGGTAGCCAGTTATAGTCATTTGCAGTATAAAAGTTACATACCATACAAGATTGTCAATTACTTTGGTAAATTATCTGTCCTAATAAAGAAATACTTAACATAGATAGGTATTACTACATACAATAATAACTTGTCTTTATTATAACACATTCACATGAATATCAATAACAATTTATTAATTACAGTTCCAACCCTATACAATAATAAACTATCTTTAGTCTGTATAAATGTACAAAGTGTGTTTGTCTCTCTTGTACAACGAAACGGAGCAATGGATTGATATGAACTTTAGTATGGAGATAATAGAGCTGGTGTAATAATTACTTTTACCATATGGATATAGTCATCTCATAGTTTCATAAGAATGCTTGTTTACTCAAGGACAAACCTTAGGAAAATAAAGTTACATCACTATGACCTGCATAGTGTGTATTTTTGAATTAAAATCATGTCTATACTACAAAAATTACGTTATTTTTGTACTTTTCATATATTTTTGACCATTCCTACACCATGAAAATTCTCATTCCCTTAAGTTTTGCTATATATAGAGTTTTGACTATACTTAACTATCATTAATGCCACATCAATAGTGTTACGTTTGACAACCAATTTACCAAAAAAAAATTTTTAACAGAATTATTGGAATGACTACTTAATACCAAATACCACAAGTATTACTTACTACCGAGATAAGAATACAACATTGAAACTACAGTACCATTGCAATCCATCCCAATATAAGACAAGAGCCCCCAATAGGTGTTAGACGTCTGAATTTTCTTTCACCGGTAAAAGCATGATAGTAGCAGGTTCCACAGAAGAGGCCCATTCCAACAATAAAGAATGCGCCAGCCTGTTAAACAATAAACATTTTGTTATTAAAAACTGATAAAGTAAGGTAAATCAATCTCATGTCTTAAACATTATTTGTTATGAAAGAGCTTTGATGAAACATATTTGCATTAAAAAAATAATATGTGTAATTACTTTTTAACTATTAGTGTACACCAATTTGAAAATCAATTTTGTAATTGAACTTTGGGATAAAATTATTCTTGGCATTGTTAACATTCTTACATAATGTAACTGATTAAATAAACACTAAAGAAATATCAGCAATGAAGTATGATGTTTCCAAAATATTTGAAGAACAAGTTTAGAAAATGAAGACAATCATGTAAAATTAAATAATATTAATATACATAGTGGTTTGTTTTCATATGGAGGTCTTTACCTCAAAAATTTCTCAAAAATGTGAGACCTTAAGGCAAGATATTGCTATTATTTATTGTTTTTGTATTCTTAAAACTTTCTTCTAAATCCTTTTTAACATATTTAAAAAAATATATACACTACAATTAAGTACCGTTTGATTGTTTGAAGCCAAAATATGTTCAAAATATGATATCTATGCTAATTTAATCTTTTATGGAGACTTTATTATCACTTTACACAAATTAATAATTTGTGACAGTTTAAAATGAAAATAGATTTTATGCAGATAACACATGAAATGCTTGTAAATCTTCAATTAACTTACAATATATGGTCTCCTGCAAAGAGGTACAGTCATGAGAGCCAGTGTATGTAAAAAGTGAAATCTATTTGATGTTTCAAATATTTTCTTTAGGTCTTCCTTTGTTTCTGTTTCCGGGAAAGTACGATGAGCTCCCATTGCACCCAAAACAACAGCAGCCGCCCCACTAAGTCCTGCGATCCTTACAAAAGGACCTGCTTCTTGTGCTAACTCCCACAACGGCATTTTGATCAGAACAGGTGGAGGTGGAGAAACAGATTTTGTTTTAAATATGCCCTGCAAATTACAAATTTAAAATATAATATTTAACAAATTGCTCTGCGTGTCTTTAATTTTATCTGATAAAGACGAAATGCAGAGGATCATTGGTAAGCTAAAAACTTACGATATTGCGTAAAATATTCATTGCTCCTTCCGTCACCGTATTAATCATAAGAGTATCGACTAAATTAACCATACCTTTATATTAGATTGAATTGCTTAAATAAAAAAAATATTAGAAGAAATCCAGCAAGAATAAGATAAATATCTTTGATTAAATACTTGTCAAAAATTATCAAATCATTATCATCTGTCAAAGTTCAAACTACTAACCATGGATGACAAATAAAACTAACTATAGAGAATGGATAGACCACAAACTATAATGCTACTAACTATAGAGAATGGATAGACCACAAACTATAAAGAAATACTAGAATAGACTTTTATATATGTAGCAATATACTCTATGAATAGACTGAAGAATGGTGAAGATTTCTTCAAAGGAGGGCACACGTATGATCTATTTACATTCAGTCTGAGGTTAAGCAATTTATGATATCTCTTTTGGTTTTTACTTCTATTGTATTGGTATCTTACCTGTGCAATATATTGTACCTGAAAATTAGACCAGCTGAAATAAGAATTGAGAAGGAGAGGTGCATCCTGTGGAAACGTGAAATTTGGGGGAATTCCTTATATTATAATCTAGGCATCCGATAAGAACGAATTTTTCGAAATTCATATCCTAAGTGGGTAAAATGGGTAATAAAAATAGTATTACTTTGTCATTCTTAATGTGAAATACAGAGAAAGTGGTGTTTAGCTTTAAGATAAAAAATAAGAAATATATTTAATATATAAAATGGATAAAATAAAGGATAAGAATTATTTTTGATCAGAATAAATAAAGAAATACTTGAAACTTTGTATCAGCTCTTGAATATAAATAAATAAATATGTGTTTTAGAATCGTCCGAAAATCAATTCCATAAGGGGGTAAAATGGTGGATGAAAGTGTGTATGAAACTCTGTAATTAATATATAAAAAAGTACAAAAAAAATACTCATCTGTAGACGATTTAAGAGTTTTAAAATAACATTCTATAAAATGATGTCCACATAGCCTCAAATATAAAGATTGTGATTTCACCAATTTAGGTCGTCTTATTGTTTTAGGCTACAATTTCTTTTTTGTGTTTTGGGAACAAATGATATCCATTTTCTTTGCATTTTGGCTCTACACAAATTGTCATTTTTATTTAATTTTTAAATAAAATGAAAAAAAATACACCAATGCTATATACATGCTATATACTGGGGGTTATAGTAATCGCGACATCTTGCGGGAGAAAATAGCAAAATTCTTCCATGTCATTAAATTGACCACTATCTAGAAACTAGAAAGAAAGAAAGCGAACGTGCGGCTAATACCTGCAGGGCCGGATTTAGGGGTGTGGATGTCCTGGGGCGACACAGGAGTGGAGGCCCCATATTATTTTCCCTATGAATTGATAAATTTTTTTAGTATTAAGTGTTTTAAGTATTTATTGCGAAACAAATTATTTCAATAAATATATTATGTAGGTATAGTAAAACACAAGAATTATTCGAAATTAAATGGAACCTTGCGAGCTTTTTTCGACAAAAAATCATTGATGATTTCAGTGAATATTAATGCTTTTTATATTAGTAGATGTCTTAAATTAGTCTTGAAAATGATCATATAAATTATAGACGTAGTGAAATAATTAATATTCTATGATAAAGTTACTTTTTAAGTAAAAGAATATACATCATTTTTATATAACAAAATATTATACTGAGGTAGTTGACAGTAAATAATTTAAAAGTATGTTTCAGTTCCATAAATGGATTTATTGAAACCGGAAAGCTATTTTTCTATTTTGGAATAAACATAAATAATTTTGAGATGTGGATAAGTACTGTTTTACATTTTTGATGGACAATACACACTAACACTCAAGAAAAAAAATTACAATAATAAAAAAAACCGACTGCATAAAAAGCTGACTAAAAATTACAGTAGATAAAAAATAGATCTCTATCAATCTATCTATCAATATATATAATTTTGCAATATTTTTCTCTATCTATCAATATATATAATTTTGCAATATTTTAAATATTGTAGTTTATACATATTTATAAAATAAAATAGTTCACCAGTTTGCGGATGAACTAAATCTATTAATTAATTACTAAGCAAACAAATATAGCCCCTCTCTTCCATTTTTTTGTATGGGATGGCCGTCATCTGTATTATGTATTACTTTATATTTTGTCATCTGCATATTTTACCGGCAGCGTCACCTTAAAACGATTTTTATTATTCTCCGTAGCTCATGTATTACTCCAACCTCCAGGTATAGTTTATCAATTGTCATCCAAATCGTTCCAGATCTTTCAGCGTGAAAAAGTAAAAAACATACACACACATACAAACTTATTGTAATAGGAAACGTATTTATAATAGATTCAGTAGTGTGATATAGTATTATTTAATTATACATTATGGTTTATTAAAAGGGTTTAGTAAAATAGTAAGTTGTAAGAAAATACTTTTATTACAATGATAATAAACTATATTCATGTTCATCGTGATAGGTACAAGTAACAGTTATCTAAGGACACAAAATATATCAAAATTAAATATTTTTAATATTAGTACCTTGAAATTACAAATAGATATCACATTTCAGTTATAAGATACACAAAGTAAATTCTTGTCAAGTAAAAAAAAATATGGAAAGCTTGGACGTCGTCACGCTTTTGTTAAATCTACTTGGTTTCTTGGACAGCAAACACCAGCATATCTGCAAGATTAATAATTGTTATAATAAGAATAAATAAACTTTTAAGTAATTTTTAGTAGGTACATAAAAAAAGTTTAGTAGGTATACCTAGTATTGACAGTGCAATAAGTGGTGTGGTAGACGTCGACAGTGATGTCCTTAGCGGCCGCGCACCGTGTCAGGTACACGCAAACTCCACCCGCACTCTCCGAACCTTCAGTGCCCTCTTGTTTCGCGTTGACGCTATTTGCGCACTCCTCATCGCCGTTAACCGCTTTAGGTGGCTGTAAGAGAAGACAATTTAAAATATTACGACTAATAATTACCTAATATAAATACTATGAATTAGCAGTAGGTACTAGTTCTTCGAAGAATCATGGATAGGTTACTTAATATTTCAAGTTTGATAAAATAAATATGAAGCACTAAAGACTTGATCTTTTAATTAAAAATTCAAAATGCCTATATAAATGTATAATATTAAAATAATTAACCATTTGGTCAACTTACGTCAGAGTCCTTAGAGACTTCGAGTGTGATGTTTTTACCATTGGAAGAGAATTCGAGCGCATCTGTATTATAATTGAGCAAACTCAACGCCCAACTAAAACCTTCTAAATGATATTTATTTACCAGAGGTGCAAGACTGGTAACTACACGAGGGGGGACCGTAGACAAAATATATGGTACGCCTGTCAAAAATAACATACATTATTTTAATTTATAAGCACAAGTTAGTAGCAATATTATGTATTTATATATCAAATCAATACCAAGTAGGTACCTGCATTATAAAATAATATTGGTTGCGGATTTAATTCCCGCTTAGGTCGCTGTGTTTTTAACGACAAAACTAAATTAAATTGTCTGCCTTACACATTAAAACACTTAAATATTGCAGTGACATAGACGAAGTTGAGAACAATAAGTATTAAATAGTTATAAAATTTTGTTTCATAGAAGTAGTATGTCCTTTTTATTATTATTTATTTATTATTTATTACTCGACCGTTTTAACTCTGAAATCTGCGTATACTTATAATGACGTTTCTCAACAATCAACATAGGGTTCCCTGCTTATAGTAGTGCGTAATGTTATTGTAAAGATATTAATTTTTTTCCGAAACTTCGGGAAATACATATAAATAAAGATAGAACTGCATAATGATGTAGCCTACAAAATATAATGGTATTAATTCAGTTATTATTTCAGTTTAACTTAGCAAAATGTTATTAACACTCACTCTCGTAAAAAGCCTGTCCAGCAAGGAATTTGTTCTGGGGGGGACCTAAAAAGTTTTATTAAATAAAGTTAGAATTGCACAATAATGCATAATTGTGTATTATAAAAATCCACTTTCTAAGTGTGATACGTTTTCCTTTCGCATCTACCAAACATATCTTCAGAAAGATTAGAGAACGCCTGCGACATAGTAATCATACAGTTTTAACATAAAATTATGTAAATGTATGTACATTCAGTTTTTATTAAGTTCCCATAGAAGTAAGTTACCTATTAATAGGTTAAATTTAGTTATTATTTCAGTTTAACTTCGCAAAATGTTATAGACACTCACTGTCGAAAACAGCTGGACCACCAAAGATTCTATCCTGGGAGGGACCTAAAAAAGTTTTAATTAAATAAAGTTCTAATTGCATAATAATGCATATTTAGGTAATATAAAAATTACCCTTAAAGTGTGATACATTTTCATTAGGTATCTACCTAGTATATCCTCGGAAAGATCAAAGAACGCCTACGACATAGTAGTCGTATAGAAGTTAAACTTAACATTATGTAAATGTATGTACATTAAGTTTTTAATAAGTACCTACAGAATTATATTAATGGGTATTATTTCAGTTTAACTTAGCAAAATGTTATAGACACTCACTGTCGAAAACAGCTCCACCAATGATTCTGGACGGGGAGTGACCTAAAAAGTTTTATTACAAATATTTATATTCAGTTTCGCCTTGCCAAGTCTAAGGCTAGCAACACACGCACGGTTTCTTGTTATGATTTTTGATAACGAAACAGACGACAAACTAAGATAACTGTTTCTCAACAAATAAAATGCTATACCTTTAAAGGCTACAGCTATACGTTATGCGCCATGCAAACCACGTGATTTCGATACACAAAATCTGAATTTAATTCGGCAAATTGTGTATATGTGGCCAGCCTTGTGTTTTGGTCATGTTTTCGGACTTAGTTATTTATAGTTTATATTAAGCGTTACCATAGTAACGAATGGTATTGGAGTATCAATATTACTCACACTCAAATATAAATATATTGAAAATTGCATATTATTACATACTTATTTTAGTTTATTATGAATATACAGTAGTCATGCTATTTAATTTGTAATATAAAATATGAATAGATTCTGAAAGATCAGGCTAAAAGAATAACATAGTCGGAACATGTGCAGGTAATAAATATTAAAGCTTAACATCGTATTATAATTAGCAGTTTATTTTTTTTATTCCAGTCGTTATGCCCGCAGTATAGTTATTAGCTGTTATAAGATAAAATTCATACAGTGATCGCCCATTGATTTTATCTGAATTTATGCAGTTAAATGCAAGGGTAGGTAGTTAAAAATAACAATTTACATGGCAACAGGCGAATGGTTTCGAAGTTATAGCACTACAGTACTGTCTCTTGGTCAATAATTTATAGTTAAAATCGGTCCCCTAAAGCGGTTAGTCGACTTTTATAATATACGAGTAAAACTAACTATGAGTTATGAGTACTTCCTAGCTAGGTAGGCCAGAGGTCATCGTTAGACGACTGTATGTAGACTGTAACATAACAATATTATGCAATAAAAAGAAAAATTAACAAAATAATTTTGACCACATTCAATGATAAACCGGTTATATGTTATGTATGAGAAAGTATTAAAAATAATTATAAAATTCTCGTCTATCTTATTCTCTTACTGTGCGACCGAAAGTACTATTTTCTAAAAATTAATACGTAATTCTTTTTTGTAATGCCTAATTGAATATAATTCCTATTACTAAGTTTAGCTTTGTAGAATGGTATGGATTATGGACACTTACTATAATAAGATGATGGTTGTCCTCCACCGACGATAAGGGGAGTGCCTAAAATGAGGTACGTCTTTTAATATATTACCTACGTACGTGAGCAAAATGTTATCGATGGAAAATAAAAATCTATAATTATTAAAATATATTATAAATCTATAATTTTGTATAAAGCTTAATAAAATCAATATTAACAAAGATGTAGAACAAGTAGGTACATGTTATTCAAGTAGGTACCTAATTTATTCCTAAGATAAAAACAGTTGGCTCATATTTTGATAATGTATACTGTACAAATATATATTAAAAAAAAATGTTACTCAGTTTTTTTTAGTATTCAATATTTTTTATTTTTAATCGATTTTTTATCTCATTTTATGTAGGCAGCCATTTCAAACTAAAAGAATAAGGTAGGTGGAACGTGCAGAAGATTGTTGTTAAAGCCTACAAAGGTATTACAATTTAGCGGTAAGTACCTACCTACTACCTAGTACCTACATACATATATGTATAATACGATTCCCGTCATTGCATTGTGCGCGCATGTTTTAGAGCCATTTATGTAGTTAAGTAAAACTAATTATACCGTAGTGCATAGCAAAAAAATTATAATATGAAGTTTTAGCCGGCTTTATTCATTGTCACAGATGTTCCGTCTATTTTATTCTCTCATTCTAAGGCAACACTTACTATATCCAAGCAAAGCAGGTCGATGGCCAGAGAAAGCACTCGAAAAGCCTACAAAGCACAAAATAATCTTTTGTAAATACACCTATTAATAATTCTCTTAACAATATTAAAAATTGGTTAACTTCTCAGCAAAAGCTTTAATGTTGTATTAACTTTTATAATAAAAACTTTTTAACAAAAAAATAAAAACCGACTTCAAACAAAAGCACTAAAAAGTAAAAAATAACTGATTGGTAGTTTTCATTTACTATACATACCTAATAAAATATTTTCGAAGTCGGTGTGCTTTGGCTAAGTACTTAAAGCCTACCTATTAAATACATACCTAATCAAATATTTTCGAAATCAGTGCCAGCCCATACAAAGCAAATCGGTTAATAAATGACAAAGTTCTGAGGTAACAAACATTAAAAAAAAAAACAGTCTAATTGAGAACCTCCTCCTTTTTGAAGTCGGTTGAAAATTAAATTAAAAGAGTAAACGGGGGTTTAATACACTATAAAATTTAATAATTACCTATTCTATTTGTACGAGCTCTTTTATTATAGGTATTAGTAGTAGGTATAGATACCGACATTGGATATTTTTGGAGTCGGTGCAAGAAGTAGAGCGTAGCAAATGTGGGTATTCGATAGATATAGATACCTATATATATGCTATAATAACATCTATATAAAATATTATTTAATTGATCACCTTTAATTTATTTTTGACATTAGAACATTTTAATAACATTTCAAGCAGCTCTAACAATAGAGGTTACCGCGCTTGTATTCGCCGCGCGAGGCGCTAGTGTATAGTTTCTAAAAAATGTCGAATAACCCATAAAAAATGTCCAATTATTCATGATTATTATAAATATTATGCTATTCCTGATTAATTACGGCAGACAGTACGGATCATCAAATGTTATTACTTAAAGCTTAGAAAGCTTAGAAAAAGTCATTTTTTTATCTTTTTGGTTATTTTATATTTATTATATAAAACAAAACCCTGATAAACTGGTGCCGCACTTATAATTATTATTATATTAAAATGGTCCTGCTACACATAACAAATACTTTTTTAACGACAGCTATTAGACCCTACTCGTCAGTGGCGCCATGTTGTGCCACCAGAAATAACAGCCCATCATTGCGCATATAACGGATAAATACTTGAACATTTTCAAATATGGGGCACATTTATTGCCATCAACGGAAAATGTTAGTATTTTTTTATGTTGGGACATTAACACACAACACTATCTGGTTCCATGGTAAGCTACGAGGCTTGTGTTATGGATACCAGACAGTTGATACACTACACATATATAACTTAAAATACATACATATTATAAATACAAACAGCCACGACTGGAGTACAAACAATCGTGTTCATCACACAAATGAATGCCCCCAGCGGGACTCGAACACGCGACCGCTGGCACAGCAAGTAAGATCACTACAAACTGAGCCAGACATGTCATCCTAAAATATTTTATAATATAATTAATTATATTTTTTGTATAAAAATATTTTTATTATTCTATTAAATAATAAACATTCAAATACCTGAAAGAGGTATAAATCCACCGCGATGCGCGTTTCCTAAAACTGAAAATTTAAACGAATATCATTGGTAAGGCGTAACTATATCTAATCCTAACTAATAAATTCAAATGAATGGATGAAAAATGAAAAAGGCCGGTGGTAACCCAAGCAGTTCTTATTAAAACAGGCAATAACTTCGAGAAACCTAAAAGCCGAAAAATACTTTGGTTATATCACGATTATCGAACTAGTGTCGCGTCGGTAAATAAATCTTATATTTAACCTATTCTATTAAAAATAATATTCACGATAAACATACCTATGTACAGCACAACACGTACTTACCTATATAAAATGACCAGATAGATTAATATTTTCAGTCCTACGAATAAATCTCTAAAGTAATCGACGAAATGTACCTACTTATTGAGAACGATGCAGTTTTCTATCAGATATGTATTTGATGTTTTACGCAACTACGGACTTTCAATTATTCATCACATGCAGTATGATATATATTTCTTCTAATAGTACCTACAGCTGGCGAATATTATTCATTTCCTATGTTGATTGTAAGAATTAAAACAATATCAATAATTTGTCATAATTTTGTCTTCAACTTCATCTTAGTGAGCCACATATTATCTGCAAATCTTAAATAATTTTGCCTACGGATAAAGTAAGTTTGTAGTATTAATTTGGCATAAAGACAAGTATAAATAGAAAAATTAATATACTTTTATATAATTAACATTTGCAGATTATATCATATTTATGTGCAATCTGCCTAATAAAATATAAAAAATAAATATATTGGGATATCAGCACCATCTAGTTCCATGGTTAAAGCTTCGAGGCTTGTGTTATGGATACCAGATAGTTGATACATTATACATAAACATATAACTTTAAATACATACATATTATAAATATAAACAGACGTGACTGGAGTACAAACATTCGTGCTCATCGCACAAATGAATGCCCCGACCCTAGCGGGACTCGAACCCGCGACCGCTGGCACAGCAAGTACAAGCACTACAAACTGAGCCAAACGTGTCGCCTAAAGTGGAACATCTCACCAGTGTCAAGATCTTCTTCTTCCTCCGCACGTATATCGGTGATGAAATCGAGAGATAGTGGGTGTGCCCCAGTGGCCGCAAAACTTCCTATTATTTAAAAATAAATTCTAGATTTCACGCCTTTTAAAACTGTATACCAACACTAGATACGTAAAGAAGCAAGTTCAATATTTAAAAAGAACAATTTATTCATTTAATACCTTTTAAGCCAATATCATTAAGTATTATAAAGTATACGTTCATAAAAAATAAAATTTATTCTTTATACAAAATATTCATATCTAATCCCGTAGGAAAACTATGCTTTTAAAAGGTAAGGATTTTTTAAAATCTTGTTGCAGTTAAAATTGTAAAATTATTTAAAATTTAAATCAAGAATATAAGTAGATAGCTAATTTATAATATGTTAAAATACAAATTGGATGCTCACCAGAACCTAAGTTAATAGCAGGTGCTGGGATTTGTAGTAATGATCCAAATGCTGAATATAAAAAAAAACATATAGTTGATTTGAGAGTCTCCCTTGTTGAAGTCGGTAAAAAAATTGATTATTCTCAAGTATTAGGTATTACTTTAGGTCAAAATTACGTGCAAAAATCGAAATTTTCACAAAGAATCGGAATTTTAAATTATCTTAATAAACAAAGGTCTGTCTGATTTTTTGGCTTTGGTAACCCGTTGTTACTGTTTTTTCGCTCATTTCCGCCTGATTGCAAAATGAAAACAACATACCTTCCTACTAGATTGTTTTTATTTTGAGCAGTTATTAAGTATATTTTGTTTTAAATGTGTTTAAATTTTCTTAACTCTTTCTCTATCTCGGTTAATACTTTAATTTATAATTATTTAAAATTTATAATTATTTAAAATTATTAAAAATCTACAATGCTGTTCTAAAAACTAATCTTCTTTGAGATTTTATTTTAGGTAGTATATAGTCATAATATCAAAAATGACGTTTTAACTTTGAAAATGTGGCGTGCATATAAATTACATCCGCGACAAATATAAAGGCCTACATTTTATTGTCGAGCTACGTCATATCACGGGTCCAGATTATGCGAATAACCTGCAGACTGTGATCGATGCCTTATATGATAACATATTAATCATTGCTATCAATGATATTAAACTCTATTTATGTAGTCGAGTCATTAAAAATGAGACCTAAAAAAAATAATAATAAAATCTTTTCAAAAGCCTTAAAAAACTGAAACCTCGAACATCGGCCGTCATTGGCGGGCATCGGCGCTCAGTTTAACGGACATCGAGCAAGCGTATTTGCGTTTTGAAATATCTTATATATAAAATTTCCATGTCACAATGTTTGTTACCGTACTCCTCCGAAACGGCTTTACCGATTTTTACCAAATTTTATATGCGTAATCAGTAGGTCTGAGAATCGGCTACTATCTATTTTTCATACCCCTAAGTGATAAGGATAAGGGTGGTCCTCCCAGACCCCAACCCAGGGACGAACCCGAGCGGAGCGAGGGTGAGTCGCTAGTCTAATATATAAAATTTCCATGTCACAATGTTAGTTACCGTACTCCTCCGAAACGGCTTTACCGATTTTTACTAAATTTTATATGCGTATTCAGTAGGTCTGACAATCGGCTACTATCTATTTTCCATACCCCCAAGTGATAAGGGTGGGCCACGTTAGGGACGAACCCGAGCGGAGCGAGGGTGAGTCGCTAGTATTATATAACGTTTAAAGGATTTATTAAATACAAATACCTACTTTTTTCAGTTCTTAGTTAAAACCCTAATAGAACTAAAATTGGTCCTTTGAGCCGGATTCGAGCGTTATGTATTCCTATTTTTATTATTTTTGCATGTGCAATCCCATATAAAAAGCTGATTTTCGTGCTTTAATGAAATATGATATGGTGTAAAATTTTTAAACAAATGCTCACCGGGATAGGCGTTGGGTAGTAAACCTGGTAGCCCAAGGGCTGCTGATTAGAAAATATTTATTACTTTTTATATATTTAACTTCTTATAGTAATTTTAACTATATCAATACCTATTAAGTATAATAAGTTTGATTCTGGTGTAGTATATTTTTACATACATATATGTATGTAAGATATTCAATTTATTGTTAAAATATAAAATTATTTAATGATAAATAAAATTTAACATATTTTCAAAATTATGCCACGATAATTTTAATCCAATCGACTGTTAAAATACATTTATATTAAATTTAAATATATTACATGGTAATTAAAAGTATAATACTCACGAGGCTTGTTCTCATCAACAGACTCTGCATTAACTGCGTCGGTAGCGTTTGGTTTAACCACTACTAGAGATGTGAGTGGAGTCACAAAGGCGTACTATAAAGCAAAAGAGGAATGCTAAAAATCTATGTAATTACTACTTCATATATACATATAATAAAATTGTAACTAAGCCGAATCTGTACATTAAATATTTTTTGGAAAATCTTATTGAAATAGACATTATTATGGATACAGAATCTATAGTTCTTAGAATTTTTGTCTGTCTGTCTGTTACCGCATCAAGGAAAAAGCACTGGACGGATTTTGATAAAATTTGGTATGATGATAGCTGGTTATCCGGGTCAACATATAGGATACTTTTTATTGCGGAAAAATATCTCATTTCTGAGAAATCTATACTAAACGTTAAAACGTAAGTAGGGACGAACCCGAGCAGCGCGAGGGTGAGTCGCTAGTGTCATTAATAAAAATAGAATTTAGTAAAAAAAATTATTATAAATATTAAATGTTGAACACTAAAATTAAATACATATTATATATATGAACAATAATACATGTATGATTAATCTTTGATGTTTTTCATAATATAATATTATTTGCATTGACACAAAAATTATGTTCTATTTTTACCTATAAAGAAAAGCAGAAATACTGCTTAAATCTTGCTTAATAAAGTCAATCTAAATATTGTAGACTTAAATTTTCTAAAATGTTAAAGTTTTATAACATTTATATACCTTAAGGGATAATTCAAGTGCTTGTTTCTCAAAGTCTTCAGGGTGCTCTGTCGTCTCGCGCTGGTCGAGCAGTTGCTTGACGCTCAGGTACGCCCATAGGCGTTCTAGCGGCAAGTACTCGCCCGCACGACCTGGCGACGTTGTAGGACGCACTTCGTACCGTTTCTATAAAAGAATAATATAAAATAAATAAATAATACAATAAAATAAATTTATATTTTTTATAAAATAAATACGATGTGATATATAAAAAGAACAATATTGTGACGTACCCTGCCATGTTTGTCGGAGTCGGCACAGAATCCGAGGACACTCGGTGCCAGCTCGCTGACGCCGGGCGCCAACTCGCCAGCGACCACTACCTCGGAACCTGCATATATTGTGCTGTACTTGGTCTTAGTCACTGATCCCCCTTTAACCTGAATGAAATATTTAAAAAAGTACTTTATTCAATTTCTATAAATGTGCGTAATTGTAAATGTTAAAGTTTTTGAAAAAGTAATGATATAATTGGTTAGAAATAATATATGTTATATTCATTAACTAACCGTTTCCTAAAAACTTTAGTGGTAAGCAATTATCAAAGGACGTAGTAAGTATGATGGGGAAAAGTGGTGTAGGTACCTTCAAATAACAAGTTTATTCGCAAGTCTAAAATAGAAGAGATGAGATATTGACCTGATCCGGTGGGTAGACGAAGTGGACCCCGGCGAGTAGCGGCGACGACACCTGGCGGTAGAAGTGGCGCAACTGCAGCTCCGCGTCGGCCGCCTCGTAGATGTGGCGCATGAAGCCGTCGTTGCGGAGCGACAGCTTGCGGAGGAACGTGCGGTCTGCGTCCTCGCCTGTTTCATCGTGCATTAAGAATTTGATAAGATATTTGAATGATTGTCAAGCTATACATATATAAAATGCCTTGTCCTGACTGACTGATCGATCGCACACCTAAACCGCTGGTCGTAAAAACGTGATGTTGGAGGACGTATTCCTACGATGTAGGCATCCGATAAGAAAGGATTTTTCGAAATTGATCTCCTAAGTAGGTAAAATGGGGGATGAAAGTTTGTATGAAATTCTGTAATTGATGGAAAGTGATATTTACTTTTAAAATGAAAAATAAAACAATACAAATATCAATTTTACAATTAGTTACTAAATACCGAAAATGAAAATTTATTTATGAAGCGAATGCGAAGCCGCGGGTTCTGCTAATGGGTAATAAAAGGATTTGGATAAAAGTAGACGATAGACATATTTTAAGAAAAATTACGTAACAGTTGTTATTACTTATATAGTTGATATTAAAAAATACATGCATACACTGTAATATTTATCAATCGCTGCTGTCGCATATTAAAAAAATATAGTTACCAAAGGCAAGGGAGAAAATTGCAGCTTTTTTCGGTCCAGAATTCTTTTCTGTCATGTGAGAAATGATACGCTGAGTGCTAGTCTCACCCACAGTAGGATCTCCGTCCGTTAAGAAAATGATGATTGGTTCCAACTCGCCTGTATAAAAAGAACACATTGTTAATAAATACAGACTTCTAAAGATTCCAGTAAATTAAACACATATTAAAATATATTTATATATTGCACCGAATACCTATGAATTGTTATCATATATATTATCATCTGTTAAATACTATAGAATTAAATTTAAAAACATACTTGTTTCCGTTTTTTGTATTTCCGTTGTATTAGCAGATTGACTAGTTTGATTCTTTTCATCAACTTTATGGATGAGATCCAATGCTACCCGGAGAGCTTCATAGATGTTGGTACCTTAAAGATAAGAATATTTTTTTAGTGTGTAGCACTAAATCAGTAGAATAGTAACCCTACATCGGCCATGGCGCCAAATTTTACTACTTTTGACTAACCTAGCTACTCAAGAGATACTTATTCAAACTCTCATTATCATTACAATTTACCAGAAACTTGGATATAACAAATATCCCATTAGTATTAAACTTTAATGCGAAAATTTGGATGGATGTGTGTTATTCATTGACGCCAGAACTGCTAAACGATATGAATGAAATTTGGCACAAACATAGATTCTAGTCTGGGAAAGAACATAGCTTACTTTTTATCCCGAAAAAATGTATGGTTCCCGTGGGGTAAAATTGTTTTTGTTTTTAACTAGGGACGAACCCGAGCCAAGCGAGGGAGAGTCGCTAGTTTTTCATAAAATGCACATTATGAAATATCAATGGATTCGCCTTATTTTGCAAAAGTTACCTCCAGATGCGGCTAATCTCGACACAATAATTTGTGCTTTAGCAATGTTATCGGGCGTGGCTAGGGAGGGAGATATCAGCACCACAGGCTTGGATTCCGTCCGCCACGAGTAGTATGGGTAAGTTCGGGGTTTCTCGGGCTCATCGGCCTCTTTCAACTCGTGCACCTATTAATAATTAAGAAAAAAAGTCATTTCATTGTTCCACTGATATTATTATAATATCATAATTCACACAATTATAATGCACATTAAGGTCATCTTTAAATTGATATTTATCCTGACAATGTAATCACTGGGTTGAGATTTTAGGAGTCGAGCGGAAAGGCTTAAATTTAGATTTTTTGAATTACAATCCTTACGAGGACGTATAGAGGGGGCAAAGTATTTATGAGCAATAAATACATATATTTGGGTTTTTAGCTGAGAAAAACTCTTTAGTGTTCCAAATAAAGCGTACATCAACTTTTTGTTCTGAATGAAAATTTATTTACCGACTGTAGAAATGTATCTATTAATTTACTCGTACTAAAAACATTATAACTTCTAAAAATGAATATAATATGATTCTTACCTGAACATCAGAATCAAATTCGACAATGCTAAAGTAATCGTTCGAGTTGAGTTCACCCAGAATAGCGCGCATGGCCGCTTGTAACTGTTCTATCTTGCGTCCACCCATAGAGCCTGATGTGTCCAAAACGAACACCACGTACTTGCTCAGCGGGGTCAGGGTTTGAGGTGCGAAGAAGTGAACAAAGTATCCATCATTTACCTGGAATAATTGTATAATGTTAAATATAAATTCTACGCAATAATAACATTTATAGATCAGTCAGTGTATTGTAATTTTGGACCGCATACTTTTTTTCTTTCTTTTTGAAATAGTGTATAATATTTCTTTAAGTTTTATATTAAGTTTTTTACTATTTTTTTCGTCAAAATATTTGTTTAGTTTAAATTATTGATCTAGACTATATGAAGAACCAGTTTTATTCTATTATCCTTTTACTTACTAGAACTTCTCCATTTTCGGGTCGTTCCACATCATACTGTACCACAAACTGTCCAATGGTACCCTCTTTGTCATTGTCCTCTTCCACATCACCGTACCAATTATGAGATGCCGATTGTTTGGTTTTATCCTAAATAGATCCCATAATTAATGTTATTATTTAATATATAAGTGAATAATAAAAATATAAGATATGTAGAAAATCTGATTTGATTTTTCGTTGTTTACGTACAGCATATATGCGAATGAGACGTTTTTGCTCTTCAAGATCAGGAGTAAATGTTATAGTGGCTTCCTTCTCATCTCCAGATTTTTGTATAGAGACTAAAGCGTTCTCTGAAATATCGTACATACTACATTAAGTATTCTTTAATATAAAAATACATTATTTTGTGTAATAAACATTGTTAATTTATAAAAATAATAATATCAGTTTCTTACGAGCATCAGTCTCTGTGGCGTCAATCTCATTCCCTGTCCTGACTTCAGGCACACGTAGCAGTTTGATTTTTTGAGACTCCTTAATATGCACACTAACTTCCATGCGAGGCACAAGAGCGCCGGGATGGAGGTTTATTGCATGGTTATACACTCCGTTGCGTCTTGTAAGAAGCTCTTCATACGTCAGGTTAAATGTGGCCTTGCTGTTTGGCTCTACATTTACCGATACTGTGAAGTGATTGGAATCACGTGCCCTGATGGTGGAAATACATAAGTCGTATTTTGAAATATATAAAATTACAAAATAAAATCTTGCTGCACACTATTCATAGGCTGTCATAAGGATGACAATGGAATATTATAATTAGGTAACGTGATCATCAAGACTGAAATTTGTTAAATTTTAGTAATATTTAAGGTAAGTAAAACTGGCAAATACGATAGATTTTGAAGTACACTATATTCATAGTGAAATTAATAATAAATCAACTCCTTTATAAAAATAACTCCTACAAACTTTATATAACTAAATACTCACTTAGCAGCTATATGTGCAGCTCCAATTCCTTGAGAAACTGCATCAGTGTAAATTTTCTTTGCCTCTTCCTTTTCTTTTACATATGCCTTGTACGACTTTCCGCCCAGAGTCCTTAAATATTTTTAATGTTGTTTCTTATTTTATGTTGTGTTAAAAATTAAAGTATATGTATAGATTTATAAGTATCGAAAAGGTTTTATTTCGACAAACATAATATTTTAAAAGAGTTTAGTTAATTGTCAAGCTTTAACAAAAATATCCTGCAGGGTTATTATTGCTAAACTAATAAACATATGAGATACTGACCAATATTTCTATTACTTATGCAACTCGATATATGCAATTTAATAAGGGTACAAATTGTAATTAATAATGGCTATATAGAATTTCTATACATTGTGTATACATTAGTGTACAATGTACATAGATGCTACTAAAGCTATAAGTTAAATAACCACATAGGATTATATTTAAACTTGGCACATACATAACAAAGCCGGTGATGAACGCTGTGTCTGGCAACAAAACGTGGAAAGTAGCTTGCTGGGACCTGCGAGCTGGGTTCTTCACGTTCGTCACTATAGTAGTATGAGCATATCGAAGGGATACTTCCGAACGCACCAACATCTCAGTCAACTTTATAGGTAAATTTGGCTCTTCAGTTGTTAATTCTGACGTGGCTGTGCTCTATATTATAGAAAAGAGATTATTCTTTAAATGGCAGCAAAGGGATTTCTGCCAACATCTTTTTGGTTTTTCTTAATGTATAAAAATTACATAATAATGAAACTAAAACCGTACCTCACTGACATCTCCATCAGATTTGGCCACAACGATTGTATCTTGGGTCGTCTCTTGATTTGGTATGGAGGCAGCATTTACAAATACTATTAGCAAACCCAGGATAGGTATTATACTTAATGGAGGCTTCATTTTTTAATCTAAAAATATTTGGTTAGCTTTAAATAATACATTTATCAAATTTTTTTTATTCCTAAGAGAAGTGTGTAAAATGTGTTACACGAAACTTAACGTTAACTGCAGGTATGTTTAGACTTTGGTGCAATGAAAGATCCAAATAGTACAACGAAAGGTTTATTAATATTTTACATATACATATTGTAATAGAAATGTATTAAAAAAGAATCATTTAAGGTATTAAGATAGGTCCGATAGTCGGATAAAAAAATATATTATTCGATGACTATTGTCGGTTTGTACGAATAGTTACCACTTTTTTCATCTATACATATAATAAAATTCTAACTAAGTCAAATCTGTACATTAAATATTTTTTGGGAAATCTAATTGAAATAGACATTATTATCGACACAGAGTCCGAATCTATACTTTTTAGAATTTTTGTCTGTCTGTCTGTTACCGTATCACGAGAAAACCACTGGACAGATTTTGATGAAATTTGGTATGATGACAGCTGGTTATCCGGGTCAACATATAGGATACTTTTTACCGAGGGAAAATACCTCATTTTTGAGAAAAATAAAAAAATGCATTGTAAGAGTATACTAATATGTAAAACCTAAGAATTTGGTTTTTGGTCATCAGAACGCGGGTGGAGCCGCGGGCAATGCTAGTTTTCTATAAAATATTAAGTGATTTTTAGCAGGAGTTTCTTTATGCAAGAAAAAATAACCTTAACCTACTGAGCTGGAAATTATTCTTTTAAATCCCAGATTTTTAATTTCAAATTTCAAGAGTTTCTAAGCTTAAAAATTATTTTTAGGTGCAGAAGTTTCTGTACGCAAAAAATCTTAACCTACCGACCTGAGCCGAGCTACTTAATCTATTAACTTATTCTATTCGTCCTTCCTTATATAATTTATATCTATATAAATAAAAATCATTCACCGAAATGTATGTACGCGCATAACTTCGGATCGACTGCACCAAATTAGATAATTCTTTTTTTTGTGTTTGGGGAAGTTTTGTATAGAAGAAAATTAAAAATTTTTTTTTTTACTATTTAATGAGTTTTTTTTAAATCTCATGATATGAAAAGTAAGTGGGTGAAATAGTTTATATCCTGGAAATCATACCTTAAGGGGGTAAGAATATGGATGAAAGTTTGTATGGGGAAGCAAGCCAGGGACGGATCCAAGCGAAGCGAGGGTGAGTCGCTAATATTTTATAAAGGACGAATAATTATTTTTTATTCGTCCTATTAAAGGACGAATAGACATTACGTCATTTATTAGTCGATAGTTTCATTCCTGCATGAAACGAATACAATAAAATCGGCACACATGCGCCTAGGTGTTATCTTTACCTGATTAAAATGAAAGCGTAGTATTTTAAACCCAGTAGGTAAGTAGGTATGCATTGTCCAAAAATCAATAGAAAGTGTAAAGCATGCATGCATACCTACATAATATTACGAGTACATACATGTAACACACTTAAAGTATAAAAACACCTGTTATTTAAAATAATCGACTATTAGGTATTTATTTTCTGAATCGAGTAGACGATCGTATAAAATATGTGTTTAAAAGTAACTTTACAATTATAATTCATGATGAATCTATCGAAGGTTATCAATCTAAAAAATATATTATATGTACTTGCGCATAGGATTTAAAACCAGTTTGACTTTTTCTTTAAATTTTAATCAGCATTCAGCAGCTATTAGTTAAGGATATCGTGATTGATACAAAAATATAATTTGTTATCATTTAAAATATAATTACACCATTTATCTTTTTTTTTATTAAAACAAAATTAAATAGAATCAAACATCAAAACATCTAGTGTTATATAATATATTACTATTAATAAAAACTAGTTTTTCTACAATTAGCAATACAACATAGGTATACATCTACGGATACGTAGGATTAACAATCAAACATATTACGTAGGTAATAAAAATTATAATGAATTTATTACTATGATAATAACGAAATGAGTACCTACTTACAAAAATATTTTCTTCTACCCACATTCGGCTTTAAAATTAATAATATTGCAAAGAAATTGAAAACGAAACCACAAAAATCCAATATATAAGTACCTAGGTATACTTAATTATATAAAATCGGAGAAGTGCGAAAATAACTTTCACTACGAGGGTTTCATAGGATTAAATTTATGTTTTGTTTAACATACTAATTGTTAAAATAATATTTATCTACCCAATTACAATATTTATTTTATTGACGTTCTGTTGCTATAAGAAACTAAGTAAGTTTGCGGCCGACCGCTTGAAACTTAAACTTAAAAACTGTTCAACAAATCTTCTTCAAAATAATTTTCGTTTAAACTTTTTTTGGAAACCCTTTAGAGTATACGTATAGTTTACATTAGATAGGACAGGCGGACACAACGAAATTGTAAGGGATCTTGTGTTAGCATTTTAGCTATGGAACCCTTAAAAGCTCTGCTCGCTAAATATAAATTATACTGGATAATTCCATAATTTTTTATACAATATATTTTTATAAAAATAATTTTAAAGTCATTTTTGATTGCTAAAATGAAAAAAAAACAACACGTTGAGTAGGTATCTACTATAATGACGATTAATCTATATATGACTTATAAACACTTTATCTTTTATTTACATTCACATATGTACATTCTAGAAGTATCTCAATTGGAATATATCGATTAAGTTCCAATTAATATATAAGTAATTAGGTAACCATGTTTAAAAATCTATCTAAAATATATATTAAGTACCTACTTCACAATTTTGAACATAAATTACTTAAAACAAATAATAATATCTTACACAATACACTGTGCATTCTGTAATATATCCTTATTTATTCTATGATATTCCTCGAAAACGTTTTTATAAAAAAACAATCTTCATTTACTTAATTGAGGAAGATGAATAATAAAATATAATAGCATTCATACAAAAGGTTACTTAATTATTTGCTCTAAAGAGTGAAGATAAATTATTTTTGTTAATATCTAACACTAATCACAATGTAATAATTATCTGTATCTAACTAATGGTTAGATTGATTTTAGAAATAGATACTACCTAATTAGTATTCATTTTAACGTTCGCACAATATTTTTTATTTCTATGTACTTATCATACTTATTATTTATTTTAATGTATCTTTTACTTTTAAGTAGATCCGTAATTATTACTTATTTTTTATAAAAGGACCGGAATTCGACTATCTATTTCAGACACAACGTTTTAATTACTTATTAGATTACACGGTTGAAATGCTTAAATTCTCTGAAAAATATTATACTTATATCATCATGCATTAAAATGATAGGACATGTTTTTATGTTTGTTTTTATATTGTATTCAGCCCTTTTTATCGACCCGTTGCTACAGCCCGTAATTCAACGCTGAATAAGTGCGAGACTTCACATGCCTTTCGAAAACTTGCTAGGTTTTAGATATATAAGTAGATTTCCTCACGCTGTTTTTCTTCACTGTATGTAAATATTTATATTAATTAATTAAATGTAACTTTTTTTCATAAAATTGATCTATCTCATTTAATCTAATTGTATGCGGTTTAAGAATATTTCTCTCAATAAGAACTGAAAGTGCTGTTAACGGTTGTAGATGTACGTGTAAGATAATATTCTAAAAATTATATATTCTAATATTCAAAATAGGTATTATTTTATTTTGTAAGATATAATCGTGAAAGCGGCGTCACTTAATCAATCACTCAAGGGTTAAAAGGCCGCACAAAAAATTGTAGATTACACACTATATCGACTACTTATTATTTTATATTTTTCCCATAAACTAAATGTCGAATGTCAAATATGTTAAATAACATGTTATTGAGATAAGATTAGGTACACTGGGGAAGAAAAAAAACTTATTTTCTGCGGCATTAAGTTTATTATTGGTTTTAAGAAACTTAGGTTCTTGAGATAAATGTAATGTTAACAATAATTGGAAAAATATGTATTATAATATGAGTATTCCCAACGATTTGGTTTTTCTATTTACGTAATTAGTTTTAACAGCTTATAGCAACTCAAATACCAATTAGAATTTTCTATCGCGGCGTTGGCGGGCGTTTAAAGTATCCGTATCCGTAGTTTTTAAAGATTTTTGAAGTTATAAGTACTTCTTTTGGGACGTTTGGAAAAAAATATGAGAGTAAAATTTTTACGATGCGCGCGGACACCGACAGCCAAAACGAGACATGTTGAAGTTAGCTGATAACTGTTTGTTGCCATGGTAACCGTAGTAATTGCCTGACGAATGATATACAATATTATATACAGAATATCATTTATGATATTCTATAAATATATAATTGTAATATGCCTAATATGCGTTATTTAATTATTTTATTAATTTATCACTCCTTTTACAAACAGAGAGTTGTGACTTGTGACATACGGGATGAAATCTTTAGCTATTTTTATTCTGTAACGCCAAAGAAGTACATATAAATTCTTACGTGTGTAGGGGACACGCATGGTTTTTTTATAATATTTTTACCAAGTTTATATGTAATTTTACATTGTGTAACTTGCTAGGTTTTCTCAGACATGCAGGTTTCCTCACGATGTTTTCCTTCACCGTAAGGCAAATGGTAATATCAGAGGTGCGAGACCCGGGATTTCAACCCACTTCACACGGTTTCCCAAGCGAGCGCGTTACCACTGGCCTACCACTGCCTACAATGGTAATGTATTCTATCTCATTCTATCGCCGGCTTTATCCTATATATTTATGTGTTGGTGATTGGTCTCTTTTTAATGTTGCATTTCCGTTAATCGAGTTTCAAATCACAACGATTCTAAAGAAGTTTCATTTCAGAGTTATGTTAATTTAAAGAATAACCTAGGGACAAAGTCGAGTGATGCGAGGGTGAGTCGCTAGTATATAATATAAAATAAATTATATAAAATAGAGATATATAAAATAGAGCAGACCCGCTTATAGGTTAATAGAAGCTAGGTACTTTATAGTAGGTCTAATTTAACGACAAACATATCAATATGGAAATTCCAATTACGTGCGATGCTTCTTGTCTCATGTTTTGATTGGAATTCTTGTTAATCAATCTTTACTGATAAATATTTTGAAAAGGAGACTACAATGTGACCGATGAAAGTTTGTATGAAAATTTTGAAAGGAATATTATCGGGACCTAGTCATATTTGGCTGAGACCTGATCGTTATTAAAACTGTATAGTAATAATTGTGCTAAATCCTTAAATAGGAATTTCACATTTAAAATATTATTTCACAATCCCATTATAAAGCAAAAAAAAACAACACCTTTATAAATATTTGCAAAACAATAATGGGACAACATAATATCAATAACCAAAAGACATATGAATATATGTAAAACTAAATTTGAAATAGGTAAACATAAAACTATATACTACTTCTACTATAAATAAATATCATACTATAAAAAATAATAATTTTAAAAATGGATGTTAGTAAGAATTTAAATTCTAAAGGAATCTTATTATTTTATAAGAACAAGTTCATTTACTAGTTTTACCGTTATTAACCGCTGTTGTTATGTTGAATTTATAGGTAGGTATCTATCTGACGAGTTTAAGCTCCAAATATTGTAGCCAATAATAAAATTTAAATGTTTCAATAGTTTTATAGGTGTGTTCGTAGATTTCATATCAAAAACTATGTACTTTTTGGTACCTATTCAAAACAAAAAAAAAATTTTTTATCGAAGGTAGGTAGTAAAACGATTAGAGAATGCTATTTCATTTTTGTTTTCAAGGATAATTATTAAGCAAAAGATAATAAATAAACAAAAAGTAGCTAAGTTTAAAGATATATGAAATAAAGTGATATTTAAAAAAAAAATGAAAATATATGATGTTTGGATTTGCCCAAGCCGCGGGCATCCCTGAGTCCGACTCTACGGATACGTATAATATAATGGTAATAACAAATTAGTAAGACTAATAAACAAATAAAATATGAAATATAAACACCGCTCTATGATTTAGATAAATTTGTTTACGTATTTTAATCGTTATTTCAACGACCAACATCTTTATAATCAATCTATACATATATGTACAATTTGATTATAATCAAATTGTAAATAAGCTGAATCTGTACATTAAATATTTTTTGTACAATCTTATTATCGATACAGAGGCCGAATCTATAGTTTTTAGAACTTTTGTCTGTCTGTCTGTCCATCCGTCTATTATCGCATCACAGAAAAACCACTGGAGGGATTTTGATGAAATTTGGTATGGTGATAGCTGGTTATCCGGGTCAATATATAAGATACTTTTTACCGCGAGAAAATGTCTCATTTTTGAGAAAAAATACAAAAACTGCAATGTAATAAGTAAGAATATACTAATATGTAAAACCCAAGAATTAGGTTTTTGGTCATCATAACGCGGGCGGAGCCGCGGGCAATGCTAGTATATTATATGTATACCTACCAATAACATATTATGTTGATGTTTTAATTGAACCGGATTTTAATGGGAAACCTATGTAACAAACGTCAAATAATTAGTTACTAAAGTCATAAAAATAATAAAAATTCTTGCTCCTTAAATCTCTGTGTCTGAATAGCATCTTAGAATTAAACAAGTGACAACAAGTATTAAATTACGCTACATTGTTAAAATACATTGAACGACAATGAATTGGTAACAACTGGAAGAATTAAATTACAGCTAGGTATATACAAGTATAGTGTAAAATCTATTTGGAATCTTAGAGGTGAAGTAGTATTTTATGTACCGGCCGGCTTGCTCTTGCCTCTTACATAAAAGCGAACAGTACTCACTGGTTTGTTTATGCTCAACGAGATGATTGCAACAATTGCCCCTCAAACTCTGGCACGTTCCGCTTCCACTCCCTGCTGGAAGATAAATATAAACTATTGGTAGCTAGCAAGAAGCGTGTGTCCCCTCCGTCGAGCGGCGTGAAACTTGTTATTGAACCAGAAGCGGCGACCGCTTATATACATATATTGACTTATGCGATATCTGTATGCTACGTCGACGTTTTTATACAAATATACAATGTACCATGTTGTGATGTGATGGGACTTTCCGTGTTGTGATTTTGAGAAATATAGTATTTAAGATTAAGGATATTTTTGTCTATAGTCATAATCAGTGATACTTGTTTATATAAGGCATAAGGTTTTTATTTACAGTCTGTTTTTGCATTAGATTTCATTACAATCCATACTACTTGTCCCTCTTTTACATCGACACGGAGTAACGGATTGGCGTGATTTTATGTGTGGAGATATTTAGAGGGCTGGATAGTGACCAAGGCTACTTTTTATGACGGGAGATTATCTCATTCCCACGGGGAAAACACATTTTACAACACCAAAAATATTTATGATTAGAATATTATTTGAAACTTGGTATTAATGCTCTTCAATACAATTAAAAAATACGTGTTTTAGGATTTTTTTAATTCATTCCATAAGGGGGTAAAATAAGGGATGAAAGTTTGTATAAAACCTAGTTTTTAAGATATTTTTTTTGTAGTTTTAGCGTGAGCGAAGCCGCAGGTTCTGCTAGAAAATTATTAATGTTTTGTTACTAAAAAAAGTGCAGCATAAACAAAAATGGTTTAACTGGCTTCTCTTACACGCCTAAAAGTTTTTGTTTTTAATTTTATGTATATCTGTGATCCTGTTACTATTAGCTACATTACATACATATTATGCATGAAAAAACTTCTCTTCATTGTTCATTGAAAATTCTTTTTAACTTTTTACTGTAAGAAAATTCAAAACGTGAAATCTCGAGACATACACTTATCAGCCTTATCAGTGTTTTGTTTAGGCGCTTTTTAGCACTCTCAGTTCTGTGCTTCGATCTTTAGGAAACATAAATTAGAAATTTTATAAAAATCAAAGAGTTTACTGTTAGAGTGAATCTTTTATAGCTGTAGTGAACCATGTGCGGAACCATCTAGTCCACAATTGCGGACTTCACATGTTTTTCGAAAATTAGTTAGGTTCTCTCAGATATGCAGGTTTCTTCGCGATGTTTACCTTTAACTTAAGATAGACGGTAATAATATTGGAAATGATTCGCAGGTGAAAATGTAAGCGTTCGAGACCTGGAGTTTAAACCCACTTTACTTGGTTTTGGAAGCTAGCACGCTACCATTGGGCTACTTATGCTATTTTTATTAAAAAAAATCAATCTTATCACCGCCCAAAGTTTGTGATTGGATGAAAGGAAAGAAATCGTTTAGGAACTAGGAGTATTGTGTTGAGTTGACTTCCTTCTGGAGTGGTAGTTTTGTTTCGTGAAAGATGTATGACTATATTCGGAATTAATGGTTTTACCTTTATAGATACCAGATATGAGAAGATGTAAGTAAAGAATTTTCGTAAGAAAATACTTAAAACTACATAACTCGTACATAATGTTTGGACATATTTTCTAAAGAGCAATTACGTAAAAAGAACACATAGAAGAAAAAAATATGTAGGTACCTAATTAGTAATTACTAAGTTAATAAAACGCCGACTCCAAATATACCTTTGAAGTAATCCTGCGTGATGTAATAAAAAAATAATTTAGTAAAATAAAGAACCCGATTGCCTAAAAAGCAAGCTAAAATATGAGAACAGGTCTGGTTTTTTCTTTTAATTGTAAATTACTTTTTTATCTCTCTCATTATTATGGATAGAAATATAAATTACGCTTGTCACCGGTATATATTAAGAACGGTGAGACTCTTCTTTAAAAAGAACAAGAATTTTCTTTCTTAAAAAAAACAGACCCATCGCTTCTTATTAGTGATGTTTTCGCTACAAGTTATTACTACGGACGCACAAAATGCACGTTTAACGACTTCCAGCCTCCAAGCAAACCGGTTTTCGTAATATTTTTATTACTTTACATGAATAGACAACATATAAACAGTCCAGCAGGTTATACAGAAGACCGAAGAGTATAACTTGATAAGCTATGCATTATCAGCTTTTCATATTAAATATCGCAGTATTCCTGGTAACAAAATTCTTTGATCAGTGTGTTATTCCAGTAAAGACATACAGAACTTAAAAGTAGCCGCTTACGATGAGCTTCATAAGCTGAGGGTCGCCTTATGATCAATGAAAGAATATGCTTAGAGTTTTCCTGTGTGATATAATAAAAAATAATTTACAAAAATAAAAAAGCCGATTGACTTTTTATCGCGGGAGATTATCTCTTTCCCGCGTGAAAACACGTTATAATACAACCCAAAAAAATATTTATGATCAGAATTATTTGAAACTTGGTATTAACATACTCTTCAACACGATTTATTAAATACATGTTTTAGCATTTTTCTAAATTCATCCCTTATGGGGGTCAAATAGTGGATGAAAGTTTGTATGAAACCTGCCATTAGAATTTTGTGGTAGTTTTACCGCGAACGAAGCTGCGGGTTCTGCTATTATAATTAGCAGTCCCGCCGCCGCGCCTGTCTGTCTCAAAGCGATAAACTCAAAAACTATCGAGCATTTTCCCGCGGTAAAAAGTATCCTATATGTTGACCCGGATTACCAGCTATCACCATACCAAATTTCATCAAAACCTCTCTAGTGATTTTTCTGTGATGCGGTAACAGACAGACAGACAGACACAAAAATTCTAAAAACTATAGATTCGGACTCTGTATCGATAATAAGATTTTCCAAAAAATATTTAATGTACAGTTTCGGCTTAGTTACAATTTTATTATATGTATAGATAACAGAATTCCTTTGTTTGTTTTGTATTCTGAGACGGTGACATTTCGGACGTCCACGCTATGCCTAACGCAATTCGAGCCTATTTGAAAAAAGAGCGCACAATTCGATTCGATTGTGCGCTTCTTTGAGTTGAGAACACTTTCGAGCCGTTAATTATTTATTGTGTACCTTGGATTTTTGTATAACAATGGTGGCAGGTAAATATATTGAACAGGAAAAATAAATAAAATCGAAAATGCATTTCTTCAGCAGTCCGTAAGACGAAAACTCAACAAATCTAGATAGAAGCGCTCTACGTCAGACTAATCGAAAGCTTATACCGATTCCGAATGTCCATTAGTGAATTGGATATTATAGAAAACTAGCGACTCACCCTAGCTCCGCTCGGGTTCATCAAAATCCCTCCAGTGGTTTTTCGTGATGCGGTAACAGACAGACAAAAATTCTAAAAGCAATATATTCGGCCTCTGTATCGATAATAATGTTTATTTCAAAAAATATTTAATGTACAGATTCGGCTTAGTAACAATTTTATATATGTATATTTAATTATAGATTTGTGCATTGCAAAAGCCATATTGTCGCTTGTCAGCAATAAGGTAGATTCGAGGTAATCGCAATGACTTGTAATTGGAGTAGTCCATGTTGTTACAATTCTCCATTCTTGGGAATTATACCTAAGATCATAATATCTACATTGCATAATACGAAGGTACATCTGTCGAGAAGAAAACACTGGTTACTTATAGTTTCATTAGTTAGGTATGATATGCGAAGATGTAAAAAACTGATCAGTTATCAAAATGTATTATTTAAAAAGAAGTTTTACATTGTATGTATAATAAAAATAACATATATGTACATATAAAATATTTTTAATGAAAATTTTTATTTCAATAACTATGACAAGGCATTGCATTTTTACACTTACTGCTTTCACATAAGCATGGTTTTCTTATGTTAACAGTTGTTTTTATAGGATTATTTAATGAGCTGACACCATAGTCAATAGTAATTTCAGTACCTGGAAATATATCTGTACTGCTAAAAATAGCTAATTTGGGTATTGGATTGTTAACTCTTACAGGTATTATTTCACAATTGGGTTCACAACTATGATTTATATAGCGTCCAATGTTACCAAATTTGCTTGGGTCTATAAAAGTTTGTAGAATTTCTTCATTGATATGTTCTTGGAGGCAAAAAATGTAATTCATTTTACCTTGAGCTTGGTTATTTTCATGACGTCTTAATGCCTGAGATTTTGTTATAACCTCCCCTGCATATTCACAAATAAACATACCCCTCAAAATATGATTACTTGAAAATAAGCCCAAGCCTTTCAGTTCATTTTTACAAATCTGCATATATAAAAATTTAAGAGGTCCTTTTTGGACTAGCCTATTGCCACATTGGCTTGAACATTGACAGGATTCATTACATTCAATAATTGGATAATTACAATTTATTTTATTTCTATTTAATAAATATGTATCTTTATGTGTTGCTTGATCTACAAAAGAAATATAGTTCAAACCACCAGATATTTTGAAACAGTAGCAAGTTCCTTCACAACATTTCAAAATACATTCACAATGGTGTATTAGCTGTGAATTAAAATTTTCATTTAACTGTTTATACTCATCAGTGTTCTCTGTTGGCCCTGGTATGTTTTCATCTACATAAAATATATTTTTATCTCGATGTGAATATTCATCAAACATGATATTTTTGAACATCAAATACAATATAATGATCTCAACAATTAGCAAACAGATTTTGATAAATAAAATCGTTTGTCTAAATTAAGATTATACAGATTGGTTTGCCTCTAAATAAGATCAAATGAATATAAATACATAATCAGGAATACAATAATATTTTTACCTACTTAGTAACTTAGCTAAGCGTATGAAATATGAAATATAAAGCTAAATAATGACAAGATACCAACGGTGCAAATCCCAATAAAAATTATAAGTAAAAGAGGATATAAAAATAGTCTAGATAGATCTAGCAGGATTTTAAACTAATATTTTGTTGCATAAACAAAATAGTATTTCACATTGAAATCTTAATCTTACATCAGTAACAAAATATAACACAAAATACAAAGTAGCATTTAATGTAATTATAATTTTTAACACGGATGAAAAATAACTGGTATGTATTTTATATTTAATATTTATTATTTTAATAACATGGATTTATATTTTATATGTAAGTACTAAGTACCACAGAGTAAATTATAAATAGCAGTGTAAAACATTACATGGATGACAAATAAAAGTGTAAAAATAGAGAAAAAAACACAAAATAGACCACAGATTACATTATACTCAATTAAATGCAGTACAGATTGTAGAGCTTATGGTGTAAACAGACGATGATTTCGTTTCAAATCGTGTCAGATCTTCAAAATTTCTATCAGGCGACAGGCAATATTCGCGTGGTACCTATAGTTTTGGTAGTAGTTCTTAGTGATCTTATTATTAAATAAACCTGTTTATGCGCCATATATTGTGTAATTTCAAAATTGTATAAATTATTTCTAAACAGATTTATTTACCCTAAGGTATTTGCTAATTATTTACATTAAATTATATAATAACCAAAAACAAAGTTAGTTAACTAACTATACAAAAAGCTACTAAATATACAATAAATTATGTGTGTTTACTTTTATGTCAATTTCAATGGGGAAGATTTCTCGAAAGGAGGGCGCCACACATGTAACCTATTTACATTCAGTCTGAGGTTAAGCAATTTATTGTGATATCTCTTTTATACCTGGTTTTTGCATCTAATGTGTTCGCATCTTACCTGTGCAATGTATTGTCCCTGGAAATTAGACCAGCTGAAGGAAGAATTGAAAAGGGTAGGTGCATCCTGCGGTGGACCTGACTAACTGATGCATAAAAACAGCATAAATTAAAAATAAATTATAAAAAAAAGACAAAAACAGATAAATCAAAACAGCCTACATCGCTGGTTCTGGAAACGAGAAATTTGCAGGACATATTACATGATGTGGGCATCCGATAAGAAAGGATTTTTTGAAATTCATCCCCTAAATGGGGAAACTTTGTCATTTTTAATGAGAAATACACAGAAAGTAGTGTTTAGCTTTAAAATAAAAAAAAGACAAATATCTATTGGATTTTTTCGAAATGAATCCCTTAAGGGCGTAAAAGGGGGTAAGAAAGTTTATATCGGCAAACAATTATTTATGATCAGAATTACTTGAAACTTGGTATTAATGCTCTTCAATACAATTAAATAAACACATGTTTTAGCATTTTTCGAAATTCAAACCCATATGAGGCTAAAATGGGGATGAAAGTTTGTATGAAAGTCTGAAATTAATATGTAAAAAAATATAAAAACAAAAAAAAAACAGTCATGAGGACTGCCGGCAGAAGTGAAAACATAAAACTATATACATACAGTTGCTATTTTTGGATATTCAAATTAATTTTTAATACACGCTATAGAGCTTTATAATACTCTGAGGATTATAGTGATCGCAGAGGAGAAAAGGCAAAATTCTTCCCCATTAAAATATCCATTCTTGTCGTAAGTAATGTGTTCATTACAAGATTCTCATTACAGAGATCTTGTTTAATTTCCCTCTATCTTCGTATAAATACCATAAATAAAATTGTGATTGTGAAAACCAAAAATATGTTCTCTGTGGTTTTAATAAAACTGTCAGTTGAATTAATAAAGTCGGTTGTCTGTGCATGATACTGCGATCGCGCAGGCGCAGTATTATGACGTGACGTAATGTCCATTCATACTTTTTGTTCATTCAATGAGACAAATATTTTATTGACCAAGTGTTGTGTAAATCAAATTACTACTGTAACTGTCTAAGTCAATTCCAACATGAGTTATAATTAGCTCAATATTCCAGTGAAGTGATCATTAGTGTTAAGAAGACATAAAGTGCATTCATTGATAAAATAAAGCGCACGTATTGAGCACATGCGCAACGCGAGAATAAATTCATTCGATTTTAACTCTGTGAAAAAACATTACAAAGTGTAAAAATGAATTTTCCCAGATATATTCTGATTTTTATATTATAACTGACTAGTTACTCTTAGCTTGTTGAAAACAGGCTCAAGTAGAACATTACGACACTCCGGAAGTGGCGGGACAAGCCGGCCGAGGGGCTCGTTCCGAAAGAGATAACAGCGGATGAAAGAGATAAACAGTTATGGATTTAACATGGCGGACGAAACGCGTAAAGTGCGAGTAGAAGAAAGATTGAAAATTAAGATTGGTATGTACCAATGCTATGCATTTTATAAGCTTTTATAAGCTAAGCTTTTCAAATTTACCTTAATTCTTTGTAAATATTGTACGATGCTCGGGTTTTATTTTAAATGACAAGTGAATTGTTGTCAGTAAGATGAACAGGTGGTATTACAGAACTCTTGAGATTTCCTGTCTAGATTTAAAAGGATGTAGTTGTTCGAGTAAGTTTAGGGGTATAACGAGGTACAGCAGCTAAGAATCGCTGAACGACTCTTAAGTAACTGGTTTACAGTACAAGATTATCCTTTGTTTTTGTCATTGATTACTTTGACAGTTCGCGCACAGTTTATGAATGAAAACCGTGAAAACAATGAACTCGTGTTAAATCATATTAGATTAGATATCTAGTTGTAGTCATTTATCATATCTATAACAAAAATTAGAGTACAAAAATATTTAAAATGTTTAATCTCCTATATTTCTATAAAATTTTAGCACACATTTAAATGACCATTTGAGATATTTTATAAGTATACAATCCCGAATCATATTGAATGGAACTAAATTTAAGAATCTATTATATATAATATTGTAACTTCCTTTAGAAGTGAATATTTAGTCTATTTTTTCAATAGTTATTAATATCAAGGATAATCATTAGGTATAATTATTGATGCACAATTATAATGTAACTACTGTAAATTTATGTATTACTAACTTGATATTGATTGTAATATATATAATTTATAGCTATTATGATATGCAAGAGTTTGTATGATCCTTCAATTATTCATTTTGATGCATGGACACAATATAAAAGATATATAATCCGAAAAGATAGTTTTATTTAATAAAAGATATATTTTTCTGTTGTTGATGTATTTTTATTATAATTATAATATAATCATTTCATTAATCTTTCTTATTCATAAGAAATTATTAATAATAACATGTAAAATTATCATCTATATCTAATATCTATCTATGCAAATTAATTAAAATGAAGTGTCTGTTTGTGTTTAATGTCAAAATAAATAACAGCTTTTTACAAAATTCATTTGAAATTATATGCAGTACTTTCTTATAAGAAAATCATAATTTTTCAAATTTTTGTGTGTATGGTTGTTCCGGCTAATCTCTGAATCATCTGGACTGATTTTGACAAGACTTTTACTGGCAGATAGCAGATGTTATAAGAAGTAACTTAATGTTACTTTTATTTTAGAAAAAGAATTGAAGTTCCTCTCAAAAAAATTAAAACATACCTAAGGACACACTTGAGCATGACTTCGCTAGTGTGAAATATATATTTATTCTAAGCAGGATTCAGTCTATTGTAATCAATCAATTAAAACCTCATTCATTAAGTAAAGATTTACTGTACAAAAATATTCTCTTGGGCTTACTTAATATTTACTTCATATCTACAATTAGTTATATTATGGTCGGTTGTGAAATATTATCTGAGTTATGTTAGGTATTGGTTTATTAATTTTAATACAAGAACTAGTAACAGTTTGTTATTTTTTTATAATACAAAATTTTTAGTTTATGAATTTTTTAATTTTATTTCTGTTAATATAAAGAAAACTTGTTTTTACAACATTTTAAGATATAACAAGATTTTATAACTAAGCAAATCTACTATGAATGCATACTATTATTATACATACATATTATTACTTTTTTCAATTAAACTTTTTTGTAGTTTTGAGATACTTTCTGAAAATTGTAATATTTTGTTATATTTTAATATTTCATTTATATGTATAATACATTTAATAAACTTCCAAGTATTGACTTGCAGAATTTAAGACATACAAAGCTTAGTGATTTCTCTTAGTCAATTATTTGGAGTACAGCAGCTGAATTAATCATTCCGTAGAGCATTGATGATTGATTTGTGTCGGTAGCGGCGCGAACACATAAATCTAAAGATAACGCAAAGTGTGTCTGACGCGATAAGGGTGCAGTTTGCCTTCCGGGGCGTGACCCTAGACCCTTTTGACTGTACTGTTAGATATAACATACAATGAACCTTAACTCATAATATTATAACACTACTTTCATACTAAAAGTAATATTTGTAAGTCATATTTATGATAACCTTATTTATAACAGATGTATGTATCATAATGTTATTTTTGTGATTCATTATTATTATTAAGCTCATGATGCTATTACATCCTATCTATATGGCATAACCTAGATTTTCTTTAATGTTACTAAAATTATCATAATTTTGCTATCTAATTACAGACAATGTAGCATTTGATGTGGCAATGAGCATTTTTATTTTACTTCAAATTAGCTCAAAAGATCTTTCATCAACTTAGCCAGTCATGTCTTCACACATGAATATGTTTGAATTATTGCAAACCAACCCATTTTTTCACTTATTATATCTTAAAATTATAACACATTGAAGAGACATACATATTACATAGTCTTTATTCATATGACATTTGGTATTACTCCTCAGTTCTTTAATCCAACCACTTTATTCTATACTAGCGACTCACCCTCGCTTTGCTCGGGTTCTTCGCTAGGTACATTTTAGCGGTTAGTGATTCCCATACAAAATAAACATCTCTAAACTTTTCTGGTTTTTTTTGGATTTTCCAATTTTTTTTTTTTTAAACCACCCCTGACACACCCCCAATAAAACAAAAAAAGAATTATTCAAATCCGAATAAACCGTTTTTGAGTTTTAGCGAGACTAAGGAACAGCAATTGATTTTTATATATATAGATTAACAATCGATATAGGCTGATCAGGTTTTTGTCCTTTTTCCCTTGTAGACTTTTATTTTGAAATGCTGCATCAAATGTTTTAGTCATTTAACCAAAGAGTGTATTATAGATTAGATTATTTATTATTTTAGCCAAAAAAATAATTATTTTCCATACCTTCTTACTAATTTTTCCAACATTAGTGATTTTATTTTCGAAAATGATACCTTGGTGATAAATTCGTTGCTTAATAAATTCTTGTGCAAAACTTCATAATTATCTATTATCGTTTATGCTTTACATTGTCTTCCAGCGAGTTAATAAATTAATTTTGGATTTTGATTATGTAAATAATAGTTGCAAATAAATTACAATTTAGTCAAATAATAATATCTCAATATGAATTATTGTTGATTATGGATGTTTATTGCCTATCTCCTGTGGCAACTGGCAACATACATACATCACTTTTATAATAATTGTTTTTACCTTGGCGAAGCTTATAGTTTTAAATTTTAATACTGATAATTTATGACATAACAAAGTGTGATAAGACTTAAGTCTATATAATAATTTTACAAAAAATTATCCCCCTGACGGGGGTAGGCAAGGACGTATAGTTATGGAGTTAAAACATACATGTAACAATTGTATGCTGTTGTGTGGGTTGCCGGTGACTGCGACAAACACGGCAAGTTTATATTTTATACTTATGGTAACTTCCGTTGAGTCTGTGCCTTATCTACACTGCACCTTTGTTCCTGCCATTACTTACTTAACCCATCCAAATAGGCCACAGTTAATTGAATCCTATTACTTTTAATGAGCTTAATGATTCACTCTAACACCTTTGTAACGATTCGGACACTATGTGAATGTATATTTATATTGAAATACAAATACATAAGCTCGTATAATACTTTCTTAGATTTACGCAAATATTTGACATTTTAAATAAAACTATCTTTTCGGATTACTTCGCGGATTTATTTTGATTTTTAATTCTCGACGTTTCGAATGCTTTATATCAGGGTTCGAAACGATAATTATCATTGATAATTATCTTTGATAATTATCATGATAAATATGGGTTGATAATTATCTTTGATAAATATAATTGGAAATATTTAATTTGTAACTCTTCAAATTGTCGATCAGCAAACAGAACTCTCTCAATCAGCTCAAAAAACTCAATGCAACTTAACCAAATCTGAATTAATGCAGTTGAGGAGGATGAGGATGATATTCCAATCATTAAGGAGTCTGCGTACTACACCGTATCATACCATGACCGTACTATGAACGTATCAGACACGGAAACAAGCGACACGGACTATTAGTAGTCCGTGTCGCCCACTAGAATGTATCATTCGCGTATCAACCGCGTATCTCGGATAATCGGAATCGGAAATTATCGGATAATTATCTGATAATTATCGCGATAATTATTAAAACATATATTTATCTTGATAATTTCATACCCTGCTTTATACTGTCTCCCGTGACAATGATTACTAAAAAGATAGTTTTATTTAAAATATATTAGTTATAATCTTTTTGAGCGGAACGCTAATTCTTTTTCTAAAATAAAAGTAGACTAAGTTGATCCTTATAACATCAGCTATATGCCAGTGAAAGTCCCGTCCAAATCTGTCTATCCGTTTCGGAGATTATCCGGAACAAACAAACAGACACACAACACATTTTAAAAATTGTGTTTTTTTATAAGTACCGTGTTTTTTGACATTACAATCAGACATTACAATTTTATTTATCTGTATAGATATTTACCATTTTGTTATGTTTATACGAATATTTCAGACCAAAATATAATTAAAGTTATCAATAACTGCTTACGCTATCATATTAAAATTCTATTATTTAAACTGTTCTCATGACCACTAGTATTTAAAAGAAGGAATCTAGAAGACTAGTTTTATTATTGACTCGCAAAACTCAAGATTCGTTTTCGCTCGGGTTCACATCTAGAAAAACAAAAACAAACCTATCCCACGGGAGCCGTACATTTTTCTGGGATAAAAAGTAGTCTATGTGTTATTCCAGACTATATAAATCTATCACTGTGCCAAATTTCTTCCAGATCCGTTCAGCCGTTCTGACGTGAAAGAGTAACAAACGACCATACATACTCACAAACTTTCACATATAAAATATTAAAATAATAATAATACGGATTTTATTGCTTGATACACCTATATCGTATATAATATTAAACGAACTAAAGTGTAAACTTCACGCTAGCATTGTTAGTCAAGTGCAGTTTGTTTTGTT